CCGCCATGCCCGGCCACTTCTCCCGCCGCCTATGCTCCCTGCACAAGCTTGCCAGCACTTGCCGCATTCCAGCAGCAGCCTGGTGCCGGCTTGGCGCCACCTGCAGGCATGCCCGTGCCGCCACAAGGGATGCCGCCCTGCCAATCATGCCCCAGAGGTGCTGGCCAAGCTGCTCGCCAGCGTGCCGCAGCTAACAGGTGGGCAGGACGACCTCAAGACGATTCCTCCGCACGTTCTCGCCATGCTCGCCATGTTCCCGCCTCCCGGTTTGCTTCCCCCAGGCACGCCCGGCACTCCCGGCACTCCCGGCACTCCTGGCACGCCCAGCAGCCCATCCGGATCCGGAGCCCCACCACTCCCTCCCATGTCTGCGCCAATGGGCAACGGCACAAAAACAATCAGTCGAGCGGGCATGTCGCGCGAGCGTCCAATGTCGGTGATGGCCCCATCCACTGCCAGCGTTGCCCGACACAACTCGGACAAGACGGCCTCCTCCACCACCCCTTCCGCCTTCTCCCGCGAGCGCACAATGTCTGTCATGGACTCGCGTCGCGGCTACAATCGCGCGCGCTCCGCCAGCACTGGCCCCAATCTCCCGTTCGAACGCCTTCCGGCCCCTGGCCCGCCGCTCCCACCAAACCACCCGCCGCCAAAGTCTCTTCCCGCCGAACTGCTCAACCGCCCCACGATTGAGGACACCATGACGCAGGAGGACTTTGAAGTGCCCACCTCCCCCGACGTCGCCTCCGCCTCCAAGCGCCACTACGAGGACATTGAGGAGATTCGCGCTGCCGTGTTTGCTCTCCAGGCCGCGGATGCAGATGGCGTGACCGCTGCCGAAGCCGAGGATGCAGCGCCAGGCGATGCTGCAGTTGCTGTTGAAGCATCCTCGTAACAACTTTTTTTTTTGTTCCGTCCTTGTTCCGTCCTCCCTAACACTGCTCCTTCTCTAGATCACAATAGTGATCTGGCGCTCCCCCTATTTGTTTTCCTTCGGCGCGCTACCGGCGACTTCTGTGCAATGGCTTCTTGTTTTCCCTTTTTTTCCTCTTTTTTTTTCCGTTTCTTTACATTGATTCAAAACAAACAACCAAGCCTGCATCACAGCCGTGTGCCAAGCACTCTACTGCGCTGAATTTCTTTTGACTGCTACTCTTCTATTCGCTTTTTGTTGTTTGTAAAAAGCGGTAGCTGTAGCGGTCGACTTTTATTTGAACACTTTTTTTTTTTTTTCGTTTATTGTTTCGTTTTCTTCGTCTCTGCCTTCCCTCCCCCCCCTTTTTGTTGTGGGACTGTTCTGCTCTGTTCTTTTTCGTGATGTATCTGGTTGACCCTAACTACCTTTTCTTTTACTTTTTGCTCTTTGTTGTTTGACGTTGCTGTATCACCAATGAAATCTGCCAAGTTCACCATGTTTACCATGTGTACTTTTGTCCCATCTCTGATCAAATCCAAACCTTCTCTCTGTCTCTCTGCGACTGAGACTCGAATGATCAGTCTCTCTTTCTGTTCTCTACACAAAGACCCCACACCCACTCCATCTTCATACAAAATGTCATCTATGGTAAAAGCCTCATTCTCATCCCCTCGTCCCATCCCCTTGACATCGATGCGACTTGCTCTTCCTCAAATGCATGCTCTTCATTGAGTGCAAAAGGACGAGACACAGACTGAGAGCGGCACACACGTTACTACTGCCACACATGGGGCATTCATCTCTCACACTCACGCTCTCCTCCCCATCTCCCTTCACCTTCACCCTCACTCACTTGACGCACAAAGTCAACCAGCAAAGCAACAAGGACAACAAGCAACATGCAATGCAGAGTGTGGGATGACTCGGCGTGTGGTTGACAATGCAAAGTGTGCTCTTTCAATGTGAACCATGTGGGACTTCACTCACTCACTCACTCACTCACTCACTCAAACACACGATGATGATGCTCACTTCTTGTTTTCTGCATTCGGATGCTTGGTCGTGCAGGACACATCTACGTCGTCGACGGCTCCCGCCGCAACGTCCGAGCTGACCTCGGCCGACTACTACTTTGACTCGTACGCCCACTTTGGCATCCACGAGGAGATGCTCAAGGACTCTGTTCGCACGAACGCATACAAGCACGCCATCGAGCGCAACAAGCACGTCTTCAAGGGCAAGACCGTCCTCGACGTTGGCTGCGGCACGGGCATTCTGTGCATGTTTGCTGCCCGCGCTGGCGCAAAGAAGGTCATTGGCATTGACTGCTCCAACATTATCGACCAGGCCAAGGTCATCATCAAGGACAACGGCTTTGAAAACACAATCACCCTGATCAAGGGCAAGGTCGAGGAAGTCACCCTCCCCGTCGACAAGGTCGATGTCATCATCTCAGAGTGGATGGGCTACGCCCTCCTGTACGAGTCCATGCTCGACACTGTTCTGTTTGCCCGCGACAAGTGGCTTGCTCCCGGCGGTGTCCTGTACCCCGATCGTGCTTGGATCAAGATGGTCGCCATCGAGGACGCTGACTACAAGGAGGAGAAGATTAACTGGTGGAACACTGTCTATGGCTTCAACATGAGCTCAATCCGCAACATTGCCCTGCACGAGCCTCTTGTCGACACCGTCGATGCTCGTCAAATTGTCAGCGAGGCTGCCACCGTGCAAGAGATTGACTGCGCCACCGTCACCAAGGAGGCGCTCGACTTTACCGCGCCCTTCCAGCTTGCCGTCAACCGCGACGACTACGTCCATGCCCTAGTTTGCTATTTCGACATTGCTTTCACCGCCACGCACAAGGTTTGTTTTTGTGCTTGCATCGTGAGTGGTTTTGAGTCTGCGAGGTCTAACGTGTTTTTTTTTTTGTTTGTTTGTTTGTTTGATTTGCTTCTTTTGCTTCTCTTCGATAGACCGTCGGCTTTTCCACTGGCCCCGATGCCCCTTACACTCACTGGAAGCAGACCGTCTTCTACCTGGACGATTTCCTGACCGTCAAGGCCGGCGAAGTCATTAACGGCACTCTCAGCATGAAGCGCAACGCCAAGAATCCCCGCGACATTGACATTACTCTCCGTGTTGATTTCGATGGCGAGCACTCAAGTCTGCACGAGACCATCCCCTACCGCATGCGATAAATCACGCTGGTGCTTTGATCTTTTTTTTTTTTTCGAGTGCGAATTAATTTTTTTGTTTCTTTTCCAACTATTCAAACTGTTTAAATGTCCTGATCTTGGCCTGAGTTCATTCTCATTGTGAAAAGCAACTCGCGCCGTTTCCCGCACCTTTCCCCCTATATCTTGATCACCAAAAGTACAATCGGCGTCAATGCAAAATGTGGCCGTGTCTGTCTTTTATTGTCAATCACATACTGTATCTCAACCCAAGACTACTGTCTACCTCTCTACGAAAGGCGACACCCACTGTCGTTGGCTTTCGGCTGAGCCGGCTGTGCCGTTGGCGCAGGTGGAGGCCTTTGAGGCTGAACCGGAGCATGGCGATCAGCTTGTCGCTCAGCTTGTCGTTCAATCCTACCAAGCTGGGCTTGCTCTTCTTCCCGCTGCAACCTGAGCGCAAAAGCATGGCTAAACAAAAATAATGAAAACAGAAAGTGAACACCAACAGCAGCAACAGGCCATTTTATGTGTTAGTGATCGGCTTACTCTGCATCCAACGCGACGTCGTTACTTCTTGACGCTCTCAAGTGAACGGCAGTTTGGGCTGCAAGGTTGTCCTCTTGCTTTTGCAGCGACATGGCCAGCAGGAAGCTGACAAATTAGAGAGAGCAAAAAACAACAACACGTAAGCATCCGCATGAGTCCAATCGCATCAAAATAATCAAAAAAAAAAACAAAAACAGCTTTCTAAACCATACTCGGCATCAGCGTTGGCGGCAGGTGCCTCAGAAGCCGTATGCTGCAATGAAGAAGGCGAAAACGACGACTGGGAAACATCAGCCACATTCTGCTCGGATTGCGACAAAGCCAGGGCGGCAGCCAAATCCCGCTCTTCTTGTGCTTGCGACTCAGAGACAGCATTGGCAAAGCGTGCGTTGAGAAGCGATCCATCGCCAGCGACGGAAGTCAGCGTCTCCCACGCAACAGGAGTGTCCACGTAGCCCTGGTCTGTTAGCAAGAGTAGCACGGGCTCAAAGTCTGGCGAGCCAACCAAATGCTGGTTGAGGGGCTCGTCGAGCAAGTGATCCCGCTTGAAAATGGTGCCAAAGTGGTTGTTTCGGAAAAAGACGGCCAGTTCACCAGGCTTGATCAATCGGCTGAGCTCTCGGACGCCGTGCTCGGTCAATTGTGTTGGGGATTCGTTCAGAAAGGCTTCAACGGCGAGACCTACAAAGAGAGAGAGTGGAGCGTGAGTCAATGAAACGGAAAAAAAAAAAAGCTGGCAACGACCAGCGCGAGCACAACCAAAGACAAAATCAGCCTGGCCATACCGCGGTGCATCGATGCAGTTTGCTCGGGCGTGGGATTATCGACGATGAGCTGATTGTACGTCTTGTTCGAGACGGCGGCCTTGGTGACAGTGTCGCTCGGGTCGACAATCCAACAGTGTCGCTCGGGTCGACAATCCAACCGTGGTACAGCGGAATTCCGAGCAGATCAAACACAAGGCACTCTTGCGTGAATTCAAAGTCGGCGATTCTGAGAAAGTGATAAGCAGAACACGATGGATTCATGGCGTAAGGTGAAACAACCACAACAACAACAACCACAACAGCAACCCAAAACGAGCGCTTTCAGAATGTGCGACAACTGACCCTGTAAAGCGAACATTGACATCCAGGCCCGTCTGCAGGCGTGGGAACACGGCAATGCAGTCCGCAACGTTGCGTTCCAAATCCAAACGGGCGTCGGGATTGAGCACCCGTTTCGACGTGGATCGCATAATCTCGTCACCGAGGAGCGTGCACAGGTACTCGTACGTCACGACACGCATGTCCGGGTGGATGTGAATGCGGCCGGCGAGGAGCAGCACGTTGCAAATCGCCAGCAACGGACACGGTCCATTGCGATTCTGAGTGACGACGCCGACTTGCTCTCTCCCGCGGAACGGAACTCGCTTGACGACATAGACGTCATCGACGCGCGCCGAAGCTGCGTTTGACGTCGAGGCAGATGAGACGGACGGTCCCAGCGGTGGCGCAGTTGACAATCCTCCACCAGTTGAGGTGCTCGGACTGAGTGCGGGCGGTGCTTGAGCGTGCTCAATGCCAGCAGCGGGAGTAGCCTCGATAGTAGCAGCAGTGGTGGTGGTCGCAGTATCCGCAGTGGTAGCAGCAGTAGTAGGAGCTGTTGGAATAGAACTTGCATCAGCTGTAGCTGTAGCGGTATTATTCACGACTACTGCGTCATCAGTCTGAGCCGCTTGACTTTGAATCTGCGCCTCGACCTCGCGCGGTGGTGCTGCAGCGGACACTTTCGCTTGCTGTGGCTGTGGCTGTGGCTGTGGCTGTGACTGTGGGTCGGCGAGCGAAAGTGCCATCGCTGCGCGCAACGCCAGCACATCCTGCAGATCCGCCTTGTCGGCAGCTTGAAGGTCGTCGTCGAAGTTGACTGTCATTTCTGCGACAGGAAGAATAAAGAATGACGAAGTGACAGTTTTTGGAAAGTAATGTTGAACCGAATTTCTGACGTAAATGCTGCAATGTGTGTGTGTGTGTGTGTGTTCAATGGTTTAGAAATGGTAAAACAGAAAAAGTGCACACACACACACACGCGCGGTTTAGATGGCTCGCGCAGCTGCCAGTCGCTGCTTCAGCGTGTTGAACAAGTCGACTTGCGTTGCAATGTCGAGAGCCGCAATGCTGGACAGAATGCGAGCAGGGTCTTGCGGGTGAATGTGCACAAAGCTGGAAAGGTACACGTACGCAAAGGTGGCCATGAGGAACTGGCAGTCAAAGCGGTCAGTGATGCCACCGTGGCCAGGAATGAGGTCGGCAAAGTCCTGGTGAGAGGGAGGGGAGAAGGTGAGTTTGGGTGCAACACAAAAAAAACACAAAAAAAATGAAATCCAAAAGTGCAAAACGCACCTTAATCTTGAACGCGCGCTTAAAGCCACTGGCAAAGAAGCCGCCGAAGGGAGCGACGATGGAAGCAAAGGTTGACATGGAAAGCGAGTGCAGTTGGACGGGGTAGACGGCAACCGTGAAAGGAGTCAGGCCAACCTGTGAAAGAGCGGGAAGCCAAAGTAAGTGCGCGAAAAAAAAAAAAAAACAGCTCTCGTCCACGACATGATGGCCAGTTTCAAAAAGTCCTCACCAAGTCAAGGGGAATAGTGTAGTTTTGCAGCGTAAAGTACGGGCGCTGTTCGCATGGGCCGGTGAAGGGGCACGTGAAAAAGTCGTACTGAGCGAGGTAGTACGAAAGCTGCAAGCAACATAGAATCAAAGAAAAAAAGGCGCAGAAATCATGGTGAGCAGGGTGAGAACGATGCACATGTGAAGGATGCACTTTTCCAAATCTCTCCCGAGGGCTGTACCACAAAACCGAAAATGTAGGTGGAGAAGAGCGCGCCGATAAAGCCCTCCCAGGTCTTCTTGGGGGACAGCTGGGTCAGACGGGTGCGGCCAAAGAAGAAGCCAAACATGTAGGCCATCACATCGTTGCAGACAACCAGCGAGGCGGGCAGAATGAGCCAAACAAGACCCTCGAAAATGTTGAGCATGACCAGGTTGGACTGGGTCACAATCAGAACAAGAATGATGTGGGTAAAGCCAAACTGGCCAAACTGGAACTTGTAGTGGCCCTTCTTCAACGTGGCGACGAACGAGACAAAGCCTAGGAAAGCGCGACAAAGGACATGCGAGTGAGATGAGGTTTTGCTTTTCGCTCTGGCAGCCGAGCGCCCAGCCTGTTTCATGGCAACATCAATGATGAGGGCGGCATGGATGGCACGTACCGAGCATGTACAGGGAGAATGAAATCAGCTCGTGGTGGCGAGCCATCGAGTGCAGGATGGGCGACGCGTCAACAACCTCGTAGTACTGCTTGAAGAGCGTTCCGCCGTACAAGTAGTAGTTGGTGGCAAAGAGGAAGAACCAGTTGAGCACTCGGAACCATGGGAGCTTCTTTTCCTTGTAGGGCACGTAGTTGATGGCAACAATTTCCTTGAACGAGAGTATTTGGATGATCATGACCTGAGTTGGTGCCCCGACCGTCAACGTAGAAAGATCAAACAGAAGACAAGGTCAATGACAGGTTAGGACGATAAAGTACCGTTGGCTTGCATCAAATGCGGCGCAACAAAACCAATTCAACGACAACGTAACGTACAAGAACGGTCAGAGCAAAGTGGCCGAGTTGGACGATGCCGCAGAATGCAAAGATCATAATCCAAGTAAAGATGCCACGAATGGCCCTGTTTGTTATTGTTTTGTGGTGTCAAGCAAGTGCAATACGACAACAGGCATGATGAATGAACCACAGTCTCAATGAGTGAGATTGACGTTGGCGAGATCTAAATGCTCACCAGTTGATCCAGCGGCTCTGGGGTTGCGCCTCGGCCACTGCGCCCTCTGCACCAGCAGGAGCACCAGCACCAGCACCAGCAGAACCTGTGCTCTGTGCGGCGGCGGTGGAATGGTTGCCACCGTTCGGGGATGACGTGGTGGAATGGCCATTGCCGTCCTGACCCTGGCAACGCAGACGCCCGACCCACCAAACACAGCAGACAAGGTACAGATGAGTACAAAAACAAGCCAGTTCAATGTTTGTGGTCGATGCAAAAGTGAGCGAAAAAGCGACGCAAAACGAGCGCTGAATAGAAACTTAAAAAATAAAAAATAAAATAAAAGAAAATATTAAAAAAGGCGCTTTTGCAATGGAGTTCCATACAAAAAAAAATGAAAAAAATAAAATAAAATAAAATAAAAAAAAGAGCGCCAAAGAACCAACCAGACACTCTGAACGCTGGTGGGGTCGACTCGAAGAAAACGTCAATGCACTGGAAGAGAGAGGAGATTCTTGCCAGACAAACCCCCACAAAACGCAGCCGTTAGCAAGCTGCAGCGCAGTTCACAAACGCAGGTCAAGCTTTTCAAAATAAAAAAAATCGAGTTTGTTCGACTTTGTTCGACTTTTTTTGAGGTTGATCTCCGACTTTTGATGGAGGAGGATGAGTGTATGTTGTGCGTATCGACATTAGAGATGTTTGGAAGTGAAGTTGGGTAGAGTGGCTGGAGCACTGACCGGCTTTTTGCCCTGCGAATGACGCTGCCGAACGGCGTTCTGCCCGCCAGAAGACATTCTGGAAGTGAGGTGGGAAAAAAAGGAGACTGGATTTGGATTTGAAATCTGAGAAAACTAGTCCTTTCGTAAACAAACGCAAAACGTAGACGGTTCGCGTTGAGAGAATCAAGAGTACTTCAAGCATACGAAATAACACACAAAACGAGCAGCACAAAAGCTCAGATTAGTGAATTGCGAAACGGAAAATGAGGACGATGCAAACACGAAACACAACAATGACAACAACGGTTACGATATAAGATGGGTTAATAGATGAGAAACCGAAACGAAAAAGCGTTAGACCAACAAAAAAAAAACAGAATCTAGAAAATCTAAGACGAATCGGCAAACACAGACACGTTGCCTAAAGAGAATAAACTATCGCATAGTTTATGCTTCTTCATTCGACTCCTCAAAGGTGCCTTCTTGCGGGAGAACAACGGAAAACTCGTGCTGGGAGAGCCGGACTTCAAACTCGGTACCGTCTGTTCCGCTCGTTATTCCCTCGGATGGCTGCCTCGAAGAGCTGTCCGATCGATGTGAGATTGGTTTCTTGGATGACGAGTCTGCAATGCACGAATCGAGCGATGAGAGAAAAACAAACCTTCCTTAAACGAGCAACACAAAATGGAGAAACAAACAAATCGGGGATCAATCTTACGATGCTTTTTGCCGCTCGCACTATTCTGCTTGCTGCTACTGGAACTCGGATGGTAGTCCTTCTCGGCATTAAACTTGGCGAGCGTGGCATCAGGGTCAAAGTATCTGCGCAAAATCATCCAATCGAGTCATCCTGTGTTTTTGCAAAAGTAGCAGCCCGGTGAACATTGCCTTACCGACCAACGATCGTCGGGCCAATGATGAGCCAGTACGATAGATTCAGCATGACCAGGATGATGGCGACGCAAAGAACGCGTCCCCAGACTTTGTTGTGCCAACTCATGACCGTGACAAATCCGTAGACGATGGTTCCCGTCACAATGCACCAGAAGGCGAATTTCGTCTCGCGGAATTCGTTCAAAAACTTGCGAATGTTGCGCAGCTTGTACATCAAGACCTGAGAGAACCCAGCAAAACAGCAAAAGGACCCAATGAGAAGGCAAGACGAGAGAAAGCAACAAACGAGCCAAATTTCATCTTCCGTCGAGCTTTACCACAGGAGGGACCAAATAGACAAAGCAAAGCGCGACAAGCATGTACAGCGCCCACGAGTCCATCAAGCACATTTCGACATTGACGCCCGCTGAGGTGGGTTGGGACACGACTGGCGTTGCGTTGAGCGCTGCCAAAAAAAAAAAAAAAAAAAAAACGTTTCAGAATGCGTAATGTTTTGATCAGCAGCGTCAAACTCGGCAAGCGTGTGCGTACCTGTCGCAATGGTGGCGAAAATAAAGTAGGGAGCGCACAGGGCCGCCAGTCTGGCATACATCCACAGGCGAGGGTTCTTGATGTTCATGCGCATGTTGGTGACAATCAAGATGGCGTAGAGCCGATACATTCGGAGAATGATGCAGCCAAGCCATAGCAGTGCTCCGAAGGCGAATTGAATCCACTGCGCCCAGTCCAAAGCAGCAAGACGAACGAACAACATCGGATGAGGTCAAGGCGAGGGCGGGGGAAAGGGGTACGAACAAATTCTGATGGACTTACGAATTGCCAAAAGTTACACAACAGCATGGCCCCGACTTGTGGAACAGCTCGCGTTGCGCTTATTGAGTAAAGTGATGTGATGTTCGCATTGCACGGAAAAAATCAATCAAATGAGTCATGTCAAGAGTTCAAGCAACGTGGCTTGCGAATAACATCCAAACGTGGTTCCACAAATTTGTCTCTCTTGGTGAGTTTTTACCTGTACGCGCCGATCAGCCAAATCCAGCCAGCTGTAACAACAAGGGAAATCAAAAGCAATCAAGCCAAATGAACAGATACAGCACGGGGGAGGTGAGCATCGAATAGAGACGTTGGTGTGGTGTGGTGTGGTTTCGTTGTCAGGCGTGTGGCTGGAATTGGTTAAACAAAAATTGGGTCGTCGATTCCGAATGTGTCATCTCCGATGCGCCGCACGCGCATGAAGACAAAGACGAGCGTGCGTAGCGTGTACAAATCCGCCTCGTCTGTCCCCCTTCGCACTCTAGACACACAGTCATCGTGTTAGATACGCAGTCCACTGAAACTGCATTGAACAAGTAAATAAAAGCAAAATAAAATCAAAAGCCGTTTTTGAAAATCATGTCGAACCCAATAAACAAAGACGGCATTTTCATTTCCGGCCGACCAGCCGACAGACACGCACAGTCACCGCCCCGCTCAGCGTCGCTCCCCACCCATCCCCCCATCGCAGCCTCACTCGAGCAAAGCGGCTCACTAACGCGGCCAACACCCTGCCCCCCTTTCCCCCGGGGGTCCAAGAGCGGGTTGAAGCGGGTCTCCCTGCTCGACGCAAACCAAATAAGCAATTGGGAATGGCACAAATTTAACGTATAAATTGGCTTTCACCGACGGATGTCCCAACTCTCACAAATGAGCGACAAGCCCATTGTGTGGCCCCCACTTCGGCGAGTGCGCATCACAGCCATGCATCCATCCATGCAAGCGTCACTCGACTTGGACAACAGCGTGGTGCATAGTATGGGAGGGGGGGAGGCAAAACGACAAAAAAACGCACTGGCGGCTGAGAGCAGCAGGAAATCGAGCTGCTTTGCGCGGATGGGCGGCCACTTGCGCCAGTAAACCAGGTAGCATGCTGCAGCCAGATTGACCAGAAAGTTCACGATAGTGACGCCGTACAGTCCCCATTCTGCCGCGAATGGCGAGCCGTCCAGATTAAAGTCAACGATCAACTCAGACATGCACACACGATTTTGAAAAAAAAAAAACTGGAAAAAAAAAAACTGGCGATTGGTGTTACAATTTGGAAATCACAACCATAGAAGATCCACTATGAGCATACGCAATACTGAATGTGTTAACATGGCAAGTACCGGAGGGGTTGTTGGACTTTGTACATTTTGTCAAGAGGTCAGTCACTTTCGTCATTCAACTTGTCTTTGATGGATTCGTTCGGCGCGACGGCCGAGTCACTCGCGCTCGATCTCTTCTCTCATGTAAGAGTCATCACTCTTGGCGTTCATGACCCCGCTCGTTGGTTGTGTGTGTGGTTTGGCTTTCCGCGCGGGCTAGGAGTATCGCTGATGCTGACGACTGGTTCAATCGTTTTCTGCTCCAAATTTCAATCCAGTCCCAGGTCTGGGTCACCGGCGTCACTGCCGCCACGCTCGTCTATCGCAGAGATGTCGAAACGGGCGTCTTTGTCGCCGGCGCGCTGTCCTGCGCAATCCTTGGTAAGCACAGGATTCAGCGAGCGATTTTCGATCCAAGGTTACGTACATTCTGCATGCTGCAGTAGGAGCTCTGACTTGAACACCCCACACTTTTGCCGTTGTCGTTTGTTGGGTTTATGCACACAGGCCGATTCCTCAAAAACTACTTCAAGCAATCCAGACCGCACGTCTCGCCCAAGGCGCACGATTACGGAATGCCAAGCTCGCACGCCATGACGATCGCCTTCTTTGGCACACATCTCGCGCTGACCGCTGGACTGCGCATGGGTCCGTATCCGCAGCCCGTGGCGTTGCACTTTGCTGGTGTCCGAGCAGCGACAGTGGTCATGCCAATCCAGCGCGTCGTGCATGAAGTCTCCACCCTGCTGAGCGATCGCGCCGCGCATTCGGCCCCAGCCGCGACCGCTGCTGCTTCGCACTCGTCGTCCGCTCAAGGCATTGCTGCGGATGTGCACAAGTCCGTCATGACGGCAGCCCGCACCGCCATGCCAATCGAGCATCGCGGATTTGAGCGCGTCTACGCCACTCAAGCGCTTGTTCTCGGTCTTTCGTCCGCCATTGCTTGGTCGCGAGTTCGCTTGCGCTATCACACGACCGCACAAGTGCTTGCAGGCGTTGGTGTTGGTGTTGGGTATGCGCTCTTGTGGTTCCGGCTGTCGCACACCTTTATCATTCCGTTTGTTGCCAATCTGCTTTCGCAGTAAGGAAAAACGGTGGCGGGGGAAGGTTTCGGCTGACACTGTCGCTCTTTGTGTCTCAATCATGTGTGCTTTGAGCGGCCAGTTTTTGCTATGCAATCGTGACAATGTACATTTCTTGAACAAACAAACAAACAAACGAACGAAAAACAGAAAATCGAAACATCCAATTTTCAGCTGCTTTCTGCGACCAGAATTCTTCAGAATTCGGTGTCAAAAAGGGGTCTGTTTCTATTCTTCGACATGTCGCTGTTCTCCGCCTGTGATCAGCGCTCGGGCTGCGGGTCGATCTCGTCGCATGTTGTGCATGAGTTGCATGATTTGCAGTCAATGCCAGCTTTTCCCGCCTTTTTTTTTTTTTTTTTCATTTAAATAGTTTCATTTTTTTTTCCCTCCAGTCTTCAATCCGTCCACAAACTCGCTCCATTCCAACAACAACAAGTCAAAACCAAACCCACCACACACGGATCGACAATGGCGTCAACAAAGACATCAGCAACACCCGCGTCGGCTGCTGGTGGCGCTGCTGCTCCGGCCGATGGCTCGGGCTTGTTCTACGACTTTCAGCAGCTCTGTCGCAAGCTGATCGCCGAGAGCAGCCACACGGGCAAGTCGCAGATCATTGCGCGCCACCTCAAGTAAGCTCCTTTTCCTTTTTTCTTCTCCGACCCCCCATTGCATTGGGAGGGGGAGAGACGGTGGTGGGGGTGGCTCAGTGTCAGTCGTACGTCGCACACACAGAAATCCAATCTCTTCTCAGCCTCTCCGCTCGCACCATGACTAACCACCAAAATTCCCTCAAAAACGTACCCCTGCGTAGATCCTTCGGAGGAGACACGTATCTCGTGCTCAAGTTCCTGCTCGCGAGGTCGGACAAGCGCGTGTACAATCTGCGCGAAAAGTCGCTCGTCAAGGTCATCTGCCCAGTCCTCGCATGCGACTTGGAGGACATGGTCCAGGATCTGGAGCAAGGCGATGTCTCGGAGACGGTGCGCAAGTTTTACGCATCGTACGGCGAGCCCAAGAAGCGCAGCACATTTACGCTGCGGGAGGTCGATCAGTTCCTGGATCAGTTCACTGCGGTTCGGCAAGAGAACGACCAGGCCAAAATCTTTACCAAGATCATGAAGCGAGCCACCGAATGGGACATGAAGGTGTGTAAGAGGTCTGTGGGAAGTGTTGGCTTGTTGGCTTTGCGGATGGATGATTCGTTCTGGTTGGTTTTGCTTTTTTTTTTTTTTTTTTGTGTGTGTGTGTGTGTGCTCTGACTTTGCTCTGTTTGTTTTCTGAGCAGTACATTATCATGCTGATCGATCACGACCTGCGACAAGTCAACGCTGGTCCAAAGATCGTGCTGGATGGCTTCCATCGCCAAGCGTACGACCAGTTCAAAGTCAACAACAATCTCGCCTTTATCGTCAAGAAGATTCTCAACATCAACGGTGGCGGCGGCGACGACGACGGAGAAGATGATGATGATGGCAACACCAGTGCTGCTGCTGCTGCTGCTCCAGCGAACGACGACGGCAACGACCAGGGCGGTGATGACGATGATGAGGAAGAGGAGGACGACGACGACGACAAGCCACGCTCCAAAAACGCTGGTGCCAAAAACGCCGGTGCCGCCAAAAAGACGGCTGCTGGTGGCAAGTTGGACTTTTTCGAGCTCAACGCGCCCATCAAGCCCATGCTTGCACGGCCTGCGGCGTCCATCAAGGACGCCATCACCCGCTGCCCGAACGGCGCCCTCGTCGAAATCAAGTACGACGGCGAACGCATCCAAATCCACAAGGATGGCCCCAAGTTCACCTTTTACTCGCGCTCCCTCAAGTCGGTGGCCGAGAGCAAGGTGGGACCCGTGCGCCAGTCCGTGCCGCTTGCCACCTCGGCCCACTCGATCATTCTCGACTCTGAAATCCTGATGGTGGACAACAAGACGGGTGCGCCCCTGCCGTTCGGCACGCTCGGTGTTCACAAGCAGAAGGGCTTCCAGGATGCCTCGGTCTGCGTCGTCATTTTTGACATTCTCTACCTGAACGGCAAGTCGCAGCTGCACAAGTCCATGGCCGAGCGCCGCATGCTGCTGGAGCAGAACGTGACCCCGGTGAAGAATCGCGTGCTGCTCTCCGAGCTCCAGGTCATTCGCGAGGAGGAAGACCTTGGCGTCATGATGAACAAGATCATCAAGCAAGGCCTGGAAGGTCTGATGGTCAAGGACATCGGTGGCCCCTACCATCCAGGCGCGCGCCATTGGATTAAAATTAAGAAAATGTACCTGGAGAATCTTGCCGACACGGTCGACTTGGTCTGCGTGGGCGGCTACTATGGCACTGGCAAGAAGGGTGGCATCATCAGCACCTTCCTCATGGCCACGTACGATGCTGCTACGCGCACCTGGCGCACCGTGGCCAAGGTTGCGAACGGCTTCTCGGACGCGCGCTTGGCAGAGCTGCAGGACGAGATTGACATGGTCAAGATCCAGCGCGACCACGACCGTGTGCCCGACTGGCTCGAGTGCCACCGCATGCACACGCCGGACATTGTGGTGCGCGACCCGAAGGCTGCGCCCGTCTGGGAGATTGGTGGTGCCGAGTTTTCAAAGTCGTCGCACCACACTGCGGGCGGGTACTCGATCCGCTTCCCCATCCTCGAGCGCGAGCGTGACGACAAGAACTGGAAAACGGCCACCAATCTGGAAGAGTTTCTCGACATGGTCAAAGGCGCCAAGCACATTGGCGAGGAAGACCAGGAGACGAGTGCCGCCTTTGCCAAGATTGCCAAAACCAAGAGCGCGTCTGCCAAAGAGCTTGAAAAGTTCCTTGACATGCGCGGAGTTCCTGTGAGCAAGGCCAGTGATGAGTCATCGTCGTCGGCATCGTCGTCGTCGTCGGCTGCGGCCCCGGCAACGGATGCTGCGGCTCCGAAGAGCTCGACGAAAAAGCCATCGCCAGCGATTACTTCTGCTGCGACGGCTGCTTCAGCATCATCGTCGTCGTCGTCGTCGTCATCTGCCGCTAAATCTCGCAATGTTGCCAAGGTGGTTGACCAAGATGACCAGGATGACGAAGACGACGACGACGAGAGCTCTACCGCCAAGCCCAATGCTTCCTCCGCCTCCGTCAAGGAAGTCTCGGGTGATTTGCTCAACCCCTCGCATGGTGGTCGGTCGATGGTGGTGATTGCGCACTGCGTGGACGACTCTGGCAAGTGGGGCAGCCGCGGTCTTTTTGGCAAGATTTCGGCCAAATGGCCGAAGGTGGCGAGCGAAATGGTCAAATTCAAAAAGTCCCGCAAGAACTGCAATCTGGGCGATGTGCAGCTGGTTGAAGTGGAATCTGCCCCGGGCGCCAAGGTGGTTTTTGCGAGCCTGCTGTGTCTGGACTCGCAGCAGCGCGACAAGACTGGCGCCCCGGTGCTGGAACTCGGCAAGTTGCGCAAGTGCGTCCAAGAGCTGGCCAAGTTTGTGACCAAGTCGGCGACGGACGCTGACTCGATTCCCCACATTCACATGGTCAAGATGGCCTCGGCAGGCACAGTGTGGGACGACGTCGTCAAGGTGCTCAAGTCGCACGGCGGCGCCAACGTTGAATACCGCGTTCATACGTCGTCGGCAAAAGAGGCCAAAGCCGCCGATGGTCAAGGTGCCGCTGCTGCTGCTGCTGCTCCTGCTGCTGCTCCTGCTGCTGCCAAGGCTGCTGCCAACGCTCCCAAAGCTGACATGACCAACGAGGAAGACGACGAGGAACCTGCCGCTCCTCCAAAGACAACCCCTTTTCGCCCTCGACGCGTCGTTTCGTCGGATGCCTCAGTGTTGGCGTCCGAATCCGATGGTGCCGCCGCTCCAGCAACACCCAAGGTGAAGTCGGACACCAAGCCTGCTGCTGCTGCGTTGGCGCGAACTGCAACAATTGCCGTGCAGCCTGAACAGGAGGAGGATGCAGACCAAACCGATGAGGACTTGACGGATGCCGACTCCCCCTCGCCGTCCACGCGCCGACCCGTGAAGCGTCCGTACGAGATGGACACGGACGATGAACTGGACGAGCTGGAGCGAGAGCAGCAACAGCAGAAGCCAGTCGCAGCCAAAGCCGCCAGCACCCCAGCACAGTCCAAGCGTGTGCGTGTTGATAGTGACCCTGTTGCTTCCGCTGCTTCTCCTGCTCGAAAGACGTCATCGACCGCATCGTCGAAAGCGACGGAGGCTCCTCCTCAGTTGACTCCCCGCCGCTCGTCAAAGCGCGCCGCATCTGATGACGCGACCGACACGACCCCGAAGCCCGTTGTCAAACGTGTGAGCACATTCAAGGATGATGATGCCACCGATGAGGATTGAAGTTGTCAGTAGTTTTTTGGTGTTGGTTTTTTTTTTTTTTAAGGGAATACAATTTGCATGAAACAAGGTGTACAATGACAGCAAAAGGATAGGATTGTAGCATCGCAGTACGCCACACTATTCTCAGCAGAACGCACCATCTGGCCACGCTCACCAGCTGGCCAGCTCGGCGAACTGCCTGTAGATTCCGACGAAACTTGCTCCGCCACTCGCAGAATGCGAATTTACTGTTGACGGAGCGTCTCCATGCCCAATCATCTCGGAAGACATCACAGCAATCATAAGGTCAGCGGTGCGTGAGTGTGGACTGCCATCGGGCAGACTAGCGAGTCGAGCGTTGTCGATCGACCCGAAGTCCGCTTGCCACTTGAACATTGAAATGTCCTCTTCAAAACACTCAAACTCGACACACACATTCACATCCAACCCCAAGCAAGTAACATGCGTTGTAGCATCTTTTTGTTGCACTTGCCGGCCAGCTGGCGTTGAACGACGAAGAAACTTTCAAACAAGAACAACGCGCCACTGTTTCACCTTTCAATCCCCCTCCCCGCCACCCATCAACAATGCATCGACTCCCATCTGTTGCAATTCGCAGTCATCGTCTCGTTCGTTCGTCTTCTCTTCCGCCATCCGCGGCGAGGTCACCTTTCTACCCCCAACTCTATGAAACAAGAAGCGTGCCAAGACCACATCTAAATCAAAAATTCCCGCCAAAAAAAAAAAAAAAAAGTTGGATGTATTTTTGTTTCGTTTTAAAGTTTTGAAGTCATACTGATTTCACCGATCGCCGGTCAGGTTTTTATACTTGAATTTTTATTTTTAGTCATTTTTTTTTTCTCTGCTGTTTGACCTGTTTTTTTTCAGTTTTTTTTTTTTCAGTCTGTTTCCTCTTTTTTTTTTTTCTTTTTTTTTTCATTATTATAATCTCTGCGTTTTCTTTTTTTTGCATCTTCTCCCTCTTCCTCTCTCGCTCTCTCGCTCCCTCCCCTCCCTCCCTGTCTTCCTCCCGTTCGTTTCTTTTTTGCCCGCGTCTGTGCACAAAGGTTCGCTCTCTGCTTCTGGCTGCACACAAACGCAACTTCTTTTTTTCTTTTTTTTTTTCTTTTTTTTTTTTTTTTTGACGTCTTCTTCTTCTTCTTCTTCTTCTTCTTCTTCTTCTTCTTCTTTGGTCCAGTTTTGTCCCTCGCTTGCCCCCACATCGTGCAGACCCGCGCCTGACGATTGTCGTGGTTGTTGAATAGTGATGAGTTGGATGCATGCGTCGAGCGATTTGAACGACGCTGTGCTTGTCCACGCAGCAGCAGCAGTTGCAGCAGCGTTTGGCAGGTCTGCTGAAGCCAACAACAACGACGACGCAGCAGCAACAACAGGCGCTCACGCATCATCATCATCAGCAGCATCCTCTGAGGCAGTGTTCCTCAACCACACCCAGCATGAGCAACAGCAACATGAACAGCTGCAGCAGATGGATGCTCGTGCTTCACTCGATCAGCAGCAGCAGCAGCAGCAGCGTCACGAGCAAGAAGAAGAAGAGCAGCTTGAACGACAGCACGAAGAGCAAGCGCTGCCACTCACTGCGCGGCCACTGCTGCCAGGCGCACTCTCAGCACTGCAGCAGCAACAACAACAGCAATTGATGCAAGGACAGACGCAACAGCAGCAGCAGGAGACTGCCGCTGACGACTTGCAAGCTCTCCATCAACGCGATCAGCTCGCACTGAACAGCGCAACGCACGCAGAGTCGGACGCGGCCGCTTCAGCGTGTGCTTTTGATGCTGCTTCTTCTTCAGTTGCAGCGGGTGGAGCGGTGCTGGCAATGGTCACCGACCAGCAGCTTCAACATCCGCCGCCAGTCCTCCTCTCCACGCCGGATCCCGCACACCAGCCGCCACCACCACCAGATCCAGCAGCGGCAGCAGTGGCGTCTTCAACAGAGGCCGTTGTTGCTGCTGCGTTCATGCCATTCCTTCCTACGGAACTGACACAGACCCCGGAAGCGGAAGCGCTTCATCAGGCGTCGCTCGCTGCCGCTGCCGCTGTCCCGGCTGCTGCTGTTGCTGCTGCTGCCTCCAACACGCCCAAGTCGAACGCTAGCACTGGTGCTGATATTGCGACTGAGAACGCTTCCTTATTGGCTCCACAATCAATCCCTCCGCCGAATGCATCCATTGTCAATGCTGCTGCTGCTGCCACCGCTGTGCCAGATGTCGGTCTAATGACCCCAACGCCGCCTTCAGCAATCGACTCGACCAATGCCACAATCGCATCGCTGCCGTCTTCGGCACGGAGCAGCGCTCCATCACTCCCGCAGGGCTTTCCAGCATTCATGCCAAACATGCCAGGTTTCTTTTCGCCCCTCCCGTACTACCACTCGCCGCAACCCTTCCCGGCAACACCGGGCTTGTATATGCGGCCAATGATGCCCCCGTTTGGCTTTCCCCCTGGAATGATCCCTTCACAGATGGCCGGCAACGCGACTCCGACCAAGGTTGGTGGCGATGGCAGTGTCGCCGTCGTTGCCGCTGCCGCCGCCGCTGACTCGTCTTCGCTGCCGGATCTCTCGCTCTCTCTAGAAAAGCCTGCTGCTGCTGCTAATGGCAACAACAATACTGGGACTGGGGCTGCGGCTGCTACGACCGGCCCAAGCGCTTTAGCTTCGAACGTTGCCGCCACCCGCGGAATGAACAGCGCAGACCTCCTTTCCGCGTCGTCGTCTCTGGATGGCTTGGCGTCCGGAGGTTTGGGATTTTTCCCCCCGATGCTGCATCCGGCGTTCTTGATGCAAGCTCCTCCGTCCCGTGGCGGTGACATGGATTCGCAATCACATCAACAACAGCAATCTCAGCAACTGCAGCAACAGCAACTGCAGCAACAGCAACAGCAATTCCAGCACCAGCTGCAGCTGCAACAACAGCTTCAGATCCAACTGATCCAGCAACACTTGCTCCAACAGCAACTCGTAGCGGCAACTGCTGCAGCCACATCCTCGTCGGGCGACGGGATCAAGAGTCCGCCTTCAGCTGACGACATGAAAGCCGCGCTGGCTGCGGGCAAACATCCACTGGCAGTGTCAGCCGACGCCATGCGTGACGCGTGGAGTGCCGCCAACAATGACCGCGACAGCGGTTCGCCTTCCCCCTTCATGATGCCGTTCGGCATGTCACCTTTCGGCGGCATGTACCCGTATGGCATGTTTGGACCTGGCATGATGCCACTCTTCCCCATGTCTGCAGGCCCACGGCCCTCGAACAATACCAACAACAACAACAGCAACAGCAACAGGCCTGTGGCACCCACTGCGGCCATGGACCGCCCATCTCGACCGAGCGACGTGCTGACCCCAACACCCACTCTGGACGCCGACAGTGTCCATCCCTTCCCGCCTCTTGGGGATGAAGACGAAGGCGAGTCGGACGCCAAGCAGCAGTCATCTCGTGCGCCTGCGCGCCCCAGAACGTCCTCCGTGGTGTCGCGAAAAGCCGCCGTCACCAACAGCGCGCGATTGCTGCTGCAGAATGCCGCCATGCCGCGTGGAGGAGGAGCCGCGGCAAGCCAGGCGCCAGCGCCTGGAGCAAACGGCCGTGTCACCGCCGTCAGCCGTCGACGTCCCACGAAAGAGCGGGAAACCGTCAATCCATACGCCCGACCCCGGTTGACCGTACCACCGCCCGCCGCACCCGTGCACATGGACCCGTTTGCCAGCAGCTTGAGAAGTGAGGAGGGAGACGAAGTCAGTGCTGGAGGCTCGTCTCGTCGTAGCCCCCGAGCCAACGTCGCCCGAACACGTGTGCCCGCGTCGACACCCGCGCTTTTGTCGGCGCTGACCAATGTGAATCCTCGACGAGCGTCTTCCCTACCCACGTCCATGTTCAACGGCAACACGCGCAACCAAGACTTTGCCATCAACAGGCAAGGCTCCTCCGTCGAAGCACCCTTCCTGGCAGACGAAGAAGCGCCTGAGGATGGACCCGAGAACGAGGACGACGAGGAGGAAGGAGACGATTCTGCCGCGTTTGCAAAGGCCGGAAGGAGCCAGTCCCTTCGCCGTGTTGGCCCCAAAGTCCCTGACCGCCTTCCCCTCGACCTTGAGGTATCCGTCCAGTCACTGAACGACGCATACGCTGACAGTGGGCTTGCCCGTGAGGACTTGATCCAAGTCTGCGAAATTCTGCCGCTCTCTGGATCGGCTCGGCCTCGCACTGCCCAATCCCAGCCCACCTTCCACCGAAACGATGGCGATAAGGTCATTTGCTTGGCGAGCGTTGTGCGGGATGACACAACGCCCGCTTTTGATCCCAACAACATACGCTTGAGGCGGTTTTTGGCCGAGCACAAGTGGTCGATGAATACTTCGCTCGCGCATGGATTGACAAAGCTTGCCGCAATGAGAATGCGCGGCATGGACAATCTGCACAACGCGGCCTTCAAGTTTTCGGGCTCGACCTCGTCGTACTTTCGTCTCGTCGTTGACCAAAAAGGCACCATTTACTGTCGCTACAAGTTCCACAGTATTCCCCTCCGACTGCAGGCCTGCATGTATCACCGATGCTTCCCCGAGGTCGGGACGGCGCCTCAGGTTCATCCCATTTTGATTGTCTACACATCGCATCAGCCCAAGCACATTCACGAATGAGGCTGATTCTGTTTTGTTGGTGTGGTTTTCGAGGGTGTGATTGTTTTGTTTGATTGTTTGTTTGTTTGATTGTTTGCTTGCTTTTCTTGGTGAATACAGCGTTGAATACAGCGTACTGTGCTCTGAAGTTGAACTGCAATCTTGAAATTCTACAGTATTCTGACTTTGCGATCGATACTTATTACATGTTTTGCCAACTGCAAAAACAATCGAGTCATGCTATGCTGCTTCTAAATCCGTCTTGTTCCATTCCATGCATGATCAGTCTTCATCTTGCTTTGAAAACACCACACACACACAATGGCAACTGAACGTTTCCTCTTCACTTCCGAGTCTGTCGGCGAGGGTCACCCCGGTACGCCAACCCCACACCGCTCTTTCTCTCGCGCCATCCTCCTCCTCCGACACTGTGCTCTTTTTCTCTTTCTCTCTCTCTGAGACTTGCATCCACTGCTGCTGTTTCGCCTCATCCTTCGACCTGCTTTCTTCATCCACGTGGAGGGAGAACTTTGTCCTTTTTTTTTTTCTTTTTTTTTTTTCAAAAGTCACGCCTTTTTCGTCCCTCTCTTGTTCGTTTGTCTCGCTTTCAGGACGCTTTGTTCGTTTGCCACACTCTGACGCACTCGTGCGCTTCCACACTCAAGCACCACCATCCTGCTGCTTGAGCTGGCTTCGGTGCTCTGTGCTATGCGAACAAACCTGATTTTGAGATCTTTTTGTTTTCTTTTTTTTTTTTCCCTTCGCCTTTTGCCGCTCCTTTTCGGCTCTTTTTTTTTGCGAATTTGTCCATTCCTCCCCCACTCGACGCCTGCTGTCATCTTCGTCTGCACTTTGAATGTTCGTTCGTGGCTCCACTTTCGACATCCGCAACAGTGAAAAACGGACAAAATCATAAAAATCGGAAAAACGCGTGAGGATTCGTGACTTTGCATTTTTTTTTCTTTTTTTTTTCTTTTTTCCACACTGTGATTGAAGCCGTTTTTGATTTTTTTTTTCTTTTTTTGATGATGGCATGACATCACATCCAATGTGGATGCTGCTTCTCTCTCCCCTCTTCTCTCTCGATCTCTGCACTGAGTCGCCCTCCTCAGAAATAGCAAAAAGAGGCCTCTCAGTCTGAACAGAGACGGCAAAAAAAGAGCGGCAAGCAAAAAAAAAAAAAAAAAAAAAAAAAGGATGCATTTTGAATGGCTGACAATGACGGCTTTTTCTTTTTCCTTTTTTTTTTGCTTTTTTTTTTTTTTTTTTTTTTTTTTTGCTTTTGTTTCCATCACATGCAATCACTCTGTTTCCCCTCTCTTTGTTCCTCTTCTTCTTCCTCTGCCATCACTGTACGATAGTCAACTTTCACTGCTCAATGACCATTGAGATTGAGGATCGTTTTGTGAATTTTGCTCTTCTTCAATCCTTCGTCTTTCAAAACTGAAAACGCACACGTGTTGCCACGCGTTCTCGTTTCCCATTCACTCTGAAGTCCGCTCAACAATGACTCTAGTCAAGAAATGCAATGGTCTCACTTTTTTCTTTTTCTTGGTGACCCAAACCCTTTGACTCGACAGACAAGATCTGCGACCAGGTCTCGGACGCCATCCTCGACGCCTGCCTCGCTCAGGACCCCGACTCGAAGGTCGGCTGCGAGACCGCCTCCAAGACTGGCATGATCATGGCCTTTGGCGAGATCACCTCGAAGGCTGTCCTCGACTACCAGAAGATCATCCGCGGCGTCATTGAGAAGATTGGCTACGACAGCAGCGACAAGGGCTTTGACTACAAGACCTGCAACGTGCTCGTCGCCGTCGAGCAGCAGAGCCCCGACATTGCCCAGGGTGTCCACATCAACCGCGCCCTCGAGGACATTGGCGCTGGCGACCAGGGCATCATGTTTGGCTATGCCACCGACGAGACCCCCGAGTTCATGCCCCTCACCCTCTCGCTCGCCCACAAGCTCAACGCCCGCCTCTCCGAGTGCCGCCGCAACAGCCAGATGCCCTACCTCCGCCCCGACACCAAGACCCAGGTCACCGTCGAGTACGAGAAGCACGCCGACGGCACCCTCGAGCCCCTCCGCGTCCACACCATTGTCATCTCCACCCAGCACGCTGAGGATGTCTCCAACGACACCATCCGCGCCGACCTCCACGAGAAGGTCATCAAGTCCGTCGTCCCCGCCAAGTACCTCGACGACAAGACCATCTACCACCTCCAGCCCTCTGGCCGCTTTGTTATCGGCGGTCCCCAAGGCGATGCTGGTCTGACTGGCCGCAAGATTATCGTCGACAGCTATGGTGGCTGGGGCGCTCACGGTGGTGGCGCCTTCTCTGGCAAGGACTTCTCCAAGGTCGATCGCTCGGCTGCCTACGCTGCCCGCTGGATTGCCAAGTCGATGGTCGCCGCCGGCCTCGCCAAGCGCCTCCTCGTCCAGGTGTCCTACGCCATCGGTGTTGCCAAGCCCCTGTCCGTCTTTGTTGATGCCTACGGCACCAGCAAAAAGTCGCACGCTGAGCTTGTCGAGATTATTAACAAGAACTTTGACCTCCGCCCCGGCTTTATCGTCCGCGACCTCGACCTCAAGAAGCCCATCTACCAGAACACTGCTTGCTACGGCCACTTTGGCCGCCCCGAGTTCACCTGGGAGCAACCCAAGAAGCTTGATTTCTAAAAAAGCTTATTTTGTTATCTGCCGCTTTTCTGCTGTCTTGTTGACGAGTTAATCTCTTCCGTTGATGGGCTTGAACGAGCAACACCCCCCTTTTGATGTTATTCTTTTGCGCCTCGATTAAACGACCTTCATTTTTTTTAAAACAAAGAATCGAAACGAAAGTGTTCTTGGGCCATGCCACAATCAAAAAGAGAATGAGGAGAAATGGTGAACGAATCGGGATGTGCGCGCTCCTTTGTGTTGTTGCACCATATCCCAGTGATTTATTGCATGTCATTCTTTTGCGCTATTTTAGTCATGCATCACTCTTTCTTGGTTTTGTTGTTTTCTGTTTCGTGGTTTGCTTTTTTGTTGGTCGAAACAATGTCGGAACTGCAGCAGTTGCCAACCTGCACTCCAGTTGACGTTACCAAGTAATGACAGTACAACGACAGTGCTCTATTCTTGTAGTACTACTTAAACCATCTTCTTTCTTGTTGACTTTTGTCCATGTCAATCACAAAAAGCGCTTTTGACTGAACCCGCATTGCTTGTGGACAGATTGCCGACTCGTGACGGGTTTACTGTGCGCGTCGCCATCCGCAGCGACCTGCAGGCCGTCCGCTCAGTCGTCAACAGTGTGCGTAGTGATGAGCAACTTTCGACTTTTTGCATTGCGCCGTTCGAGGGTGGCTTGTTGGCGAAGCGAAGCTGACCAAAGTCAAACAACAAAAACCGCTCGCAAACCAAACTGTCCCTGTCCCTGTCCTCCCCCCCCCCTCAAACTGCTTCGTGCTGTACTGATTTTTGTTCCCTTGCTGTAGTAGGCTTATAGCGTCGAGAGAGACTCGGACGAGTTCAAATTCAAGCACACGGAGCGATTCACCAACGACGAAGAGCCGCTGTCGCACATGTACTTTGGCAACCAACCGCCGCCCGGTCACAAAGGTACAAAGCACTCATCAGTGGCAAGCAAACAAAAGACGAAGAAAAAAGCCGAGAGACTCTTCCTACAAATCTGAATTTTTGATCGCCGCAGGAGCATTTCTCGTATTGATCAAGCAAGAATCACAGCGGGTGGTCGGCTGCATCCACATTGAATCCGACGAGACAAACCCTGACACGACAGCCCAGTTCGGCCCGCTGGCGGTCGATCCAGCATTGCAAGGCCAAGGTCTAGGAACGTACTTGGTTCGAGTCGCTGAAAGTGTCGCCCAGCAGTGGGGATGCACCCATTTAGGGCTGCGCACCGCCAATGTTCGCACCGATTTGCTGCAATTCTACCCTCGCCTCGGCTTCCAGCTCGTTGGTACAGCGCCGTTCGTGCAGGTGGAGCGCATCACGCGGCCTGTCCACTTTATTCTCATGAGCAAAGCGTTGGGCGGGTGATTTGCGTTTTGTTTGTAATGGAACAACATCATACATTGTGCAGCACCACCCCGTCTTTTGGTTTTGGAATTCACAAAATGGAAAGCGAATGAAAACGACGAAAGGCAACGCAAAAAAAAAAACTTCAGCTACCCAACGAGAGAGAGAGAGATCCTCCCGACATGAGCGTTCAAGAGCAAACTTCGGCAAACACATCACGCAGCCCAAGCAAGTGGTCTTCGTTGATCGAGTTGCACGCAATGCTCCAGGTATTCTCCCAGTCGACCGCAATGCACGTCTTGATGTGGCTGACTTTGGCGCGGATTTCCTGGTCGGACACGGTCGAGATGGTTTCGGCCATGTCGAGAATGCCGCGCCGCACAAAGGACAGCTCGTCTTCGGTGAGCGAGTAGCCACAGCACAGCTCGATGGACGAGCGCAGCCGGCCCAGATTCGTGTCGGTGAGTTTAACCTCGCCCTTGCGCCAGCCCCGCAGCTCGACCAGAAAGTTCCGGACGTTCGTCTTGTACGCATCGAGTGCTGCGGCGAAATTTCGGGGATCAAGGCAAGTCACCATTTGGTCGATGGCGCAGAGATCGGCTTCTGGACCGCTGTGATCAACGACAAGAACATTGTTGGGATTGCCTTCATTGTCCCAAACGCACGGGAAGCGATCCCAGTTATTAATCCACATGTCGAACGTGACAACGCGACCGAGGGCCTCGAGCAGCTCTTTGCCACGAGGGCTGAGAGGCTGATCGACCGACACTGTCGTCACCTGGCTAATATCTTCTGCGTCAGCAGGCAGAGCCGCGTTGGAACTCGTGTTATTGCTGCTGTGGCTGTTGCTGTTGCTGTTGCTGCTGCTAATGTTATTGCTGCTGCTGCGAGGGCTGCCACTAGGACTGCCACTGCTCAGGTCAATCGGCTGCGGTGCCGCACCCGCGTCGGTAATCACCGCGGTCGTGTTCACCTCAGTCACACGGACATTGTCGCCATGGAACAGACGCTTCATGTCAGCAGCAGTCATCGACTCGACCGACGAGCCCGGCACAAACTCCATGACAATGAGAAACGGCCGCGAAGCCGACTTTTCGAGTCCTGCGTGCGCAACCGGATCGAGGTATTTGCGAATGGCCTGCTGGATGGCCACATGCTCGTTACTTCCCAGATCGACAACGCGCATCCACGGCACTCGGATGGCATCGGCACCCAGCAGTGCGGCGAGATGGAAGGCGAGAAACTCTTGCGGGGTGGTTTGCGAACCCTTGACCACGACGACGCTCTTGTCCGGGAATTGGATAAAGTAAACGCCGCCGGCACCTGCATGGGACAGGCCCAGTGCAGATGCAGTGCTCCAGGGGACTGGCTTGGCCTCGAGCAGGGACACGTCACTTTCCGCGGTTGCGTTCGAAGTGCGATTCTGGCTGAATTGGCTCGTCAATGCGAACGGCGTTGCATCAGCAAAGTCAATCCGCGGGACCTGCGACGCGACCGTCTCGACGGCGGCCCACTTGCGCACCTTGGCCTGCTTGCTGTGCTCGATCGTCTTGCTCAGCCACTGCGGGTCGGCCTTGTTCACTTGCACCATGCCAGAATCAGCCCGTCCGCCGACAACCAGCTTGGCCCGCGCCTCCTCGTCCAGCACCGGCGGCTTGGGCGGCAGTGGCGCGTGCTTGTACTTGATCCCAGGACCGGATGGCGGGACAAACATTGGCGGTGGCGGCGGTGGTGCTGCGGGCCCGGTCATCATAGTCGTAGAACTAGTCGTACTAGTCGTAGTCGTCGATTCTGAGCCAATCTGCGCCATTTTGGCTTGCTGTCGAAATTATTGTCGCAAAATCTGCACTGCTCTCTCTTCTGATTCGGGACTTTTGATAACAGATGTTTCTTACTTTGAACAAAAAAAAAACAGCAGCAGCTCAGAAGGAGACAAGCTCAGAGCTGAGATGAGAGTGAATGAACGTTTCAATGGAAGATTGAATGAAAAAGCACTCTTGGTACAGTACTTGCTGGGGTCTGGAACGTGATTTCGTATGACGGGGTTGATATCGCACCGCTTATAGTCGCATGTTGATCTGGGATTCGGGTCAGTGAGTAGGGGTGAGGAGGTTTCAGATTGGAAGGACGCGCTCTGTTGGAACAGCAGATACGTGCTGTACTCTGCTAATATTACAGTATTGTAGTTTTTCATTTATCTGTTTCCAAACTCAATGCTACTCTGTCTCAGTCTTTTTTATTATTGCTTCACTCAAATTTTGTTCGCGATGGATGCAAAATCTCGCCAAACAGCTCTGAAAGCATCTCCTCGAGTACGAACAAACCCAACCCTATATTGTAGAAGTTGAGACTTGAATATGTCGACTTGCGCATCCGAATCCAACGAAAGCGATGGCAGAGCGAAGGGGGACGTTTGGATTGTAGGATTGGGAAGAACGTTACGTAACTTAACCAATGACCTCACTTTGAATCATCCATTGAATAACCTGCACTCCTTTCCACTAAAGATATGATACTTGACCAACATAAGAATACTGACGATGATGATGTTACGATGTTGGTAGATGCTGATGTGCGTTGGACTGCCTGGGAGCGGCAAGTCAACCTTCTCGCAGCAACTCGAGCAGTGCACCGGTCAGGACACGATCGGGTGGGTCCGTGCGTCCCAAGATGATCTCAAGTCCCGCGATGCTTGCGAAGCACTGGTCGTTCGAACATTGCTCAAGCAAGGAAGCACGGCGAGGCTGGTGCTTGACCGAGCTTGCGTTGATCCCGAAGAGCGGTGAGTGCGCACAGTCTCAGATTTGGTTTTGAGCAAAAAGGGCAAAAGGGGGAAAAGGGGGCAAAGAAAATCCTCCGCTCTGCTCATCTCCAATCTCCAAGCAATGTGAAGCAATGTGAATGAGTGATTATGTGGTGCGTCGTCGACTTCAACTGGTTTGCATCACTCAACCAAATCTCTCATTCTGTGCCTTGTCAGAGCAATTTGGCTGAACATCGCTCAACGACCAAAGACAGCGACTGCCGTGTTTTTCGATATTCCGGCACAAATTTGCAAGGAACGCGTTAGTTTGCGGAAAGACCATCCAACGATTCGTTTTGGCGGCGGGCAGCGAGTTGTGGACGAGCTTGCGAAAAAGCTGATTCCTCCAGCCAAAGGTAACAGTATTCACACATGTTGGGGTTTGAATCGCTCGGGTCGGAACACATGCCTGCGATTGATTTGCTCACTGGTCGTACCGGCCTGCACGAATTTGTTGTTGGATTTGCTGCACAGCGGAAGGGTTTGCCGAAATCGTTACCATTCGTAGCTTGGAAGACATGAACGCTCTTCTCGTTCGTTTCGGTGCAACTCCAATCGCGTTGAGCAAGCTTGAAGCCAGTAGCACATCCGACGACGGCGAGACAGACGAGTATGACAACGGAGACGACGCGAGCTCCGACGCCGTCGTGCCAGCTGCCTCTGCTGCATCCAGCGCGCCCGAATCACAACTTGCTGCCAAAGCCATGCCTGTGCCAGCTACTGGAAAAGGAAAGTCGGCTGCCCGCTCACACGACGCCAATTCAGAGGCAACCCACGCTCAGACCCTGGAAAACTTTCACAAGTTCCCCCGCACGTACCACTTGTTTGATGCGGGTGGCTCGGGGGTTGCCCGCGATGACTTGGTCATGGACGGGAAAGAGCCTCGGCGATTCTTTGATGGCAAAACGATCATTGCTCTCGAGGAGAAGGTGGACGGAGCCAACCTGGGCATTTCGATTGACCCTGAGCGAGGCGTGCTCTGTCAGAATCGAGCGCACTATGTCAATTCAGCGACGCACAAGCAGTTTGCCACGCTGGACACTTGGATCCAGGCGCATGAGGCCGAGTTGCGCGAAATTCTCGAGCCAGGCCGCCACATCCTGTTTGGCGAGTGGCTGTACGCCATGCACTCGATTCACTACACCCGCTTGCCGTCCTACTTTATTGCTTTTGACATTTTCGATGTAAAGGAGCAAAAGTTCTACTCGCGGCGGCGTCGAGACGCCTTTCTTCAGGCCACGACCATCCCGATTGTCCGACTGGTCGCCGAGCGCACATTCAAGTCCAAGGACGAAATCAAGACGCTGCTCATGACCACTCGCTCTCAGTATCACGACGGAAATGTGGAGGGTCTGTACATGCGCATCGACAACGACGTCCCACAACAACAGCAAGGGGCCGCATCTGCCTCGTCATCAAAGATCGCAGACACGGACTGCTGGAATGTTGGGCGATGCAAGGTGGTTCGGCCAGATTTTATCCAAGGCATCACCGAGCAATGGACGCGGAAAACGTTTGTCAAGAACATGGTCGAGTACTGAGATTGTGTTGTGGCTTGAAATCAAAAATGTGAAAATGCAAACCAAAAAAACCAAAGTTGTTGTTGTGCATTTTTCCGATAACGTGCTCGCATACAGGCACACGCACACACACAACCAACGGCAACAACAACAACAAAAACAACAATAAACACACATCAGCATAGACGAGGCAACCGCAGGGTTCACACTCTGAAATCACTTTTTCAAAAACCGACGAGGAAGCGTTCCGAACGCAGACGCGGCCGTCTCCTTCTTGGGTGCCTTGGCTCCAACAAGGCGATCGTCCATGGCTTCGTTGAAGCTATCCGAGCGCCGAATCTGATTGCCGCCCTCTGTCGATCCAGTCGTGTCCAGACTGCCGTTGCTGCCTGCATTGCCTGTGGCAGCAGCACCGCTCGCCGACATGCCACCACCCGACATTGCCATCCAAGCAGCGGCGTTGGCTGAAACCATGGAGGAGAGAGCGCCGCCGCCAGCTGAGCCGATCGATCCGGTTTCAGACGACTCGGAACCTCCGCGCTGGTGACTCAGCGGAACATTCAAGGGAGTTGCGATCGGCGGAGTGCTCGACTCCTTGTTCTCGCCCAGACGAATGTTGGCTGTGATTTCCTGCTTGATGAGCTGCATCCACGTCTTCTTGTCTTCCGGAGATCTGCGAAATGGAGCAAACGAGGTGAGTTCAGTCCAAAGTAGCTAGTTTCGACATTCGGAGCGCAGACACTTACTTGGAGTACATCAGGTAGTTGGTGCGAGACGGCTTGCCTTGCTTGAGAGATCCCATATCCACCAACTCCCAAATGTTGCGGTCCTCTGAAAGAGCAATTTGCACAAAAAAAACAGAAACAAAAAAACAGAAACAAGAACAATGAGCGCTAAAAGCCACCGCAAATCTCAGCTCAACCTCACCTTCAGTGTCCTGAAGCGAACGAATCAGCATGGACTTGATGGGCACTTGGCCAAAGTAGCGATAGGCAGGCTTCATGCCCTTCTTGCCCTTGTTCTTGTTGCGAGCAAACAGCACCGCTTTCGAGAACAAGAACAGCTCCACGTCCTTCTTCTTGGTAGTAGACTCGTTGGGATCGATGCGCATGATTTCGCCGCAGTGCAAAACCTCGCCCAGTTCAGAGATTTCAGGACCCTAGGATCATCCCATGCTCGAGTGAGAGGAAGCAGTAAAGCGAAAAACACGAAAAGCAGAACAGCCTTTCATTCGGCTAGTCTTGTCCCCATGTCACCCCCCCCCCCTCGGCGACCATCAAACAGAAACCAAGCACAAGGAAAACATCCACTTACATCCCACTCGTCACCCCGCAGATGGGTAGCTTGGTCGACCGTCTCCTGGCGACGCTTGCGCTCGTTGATCATGTTGGCAACCTCAATCATGCCAGCCATGGCTTTGGTCAGGGCCAGGGCGCGTGGGTCCGGGCCTGCAAGCGGGGTCTTGACAACCTCGCCTTCCTTGGGAGCGGGCTTGCCGTTGTCGCCGCTGGGTTTGGAGTTCTCGTCATCCATGTTGCTGAACTTGAGCAGCTCGCGCATGAGCAGCGGATACTTGAGGATGCGCTGGATTGGCTTGATCAGGAAGGAATCCAGCTTCAGAGACTGCTCATTGCTGGGATTGCACTGGGCCAAAAAGTCTGCCAGATTCTGGTCTCCGTCATGCAGGACCGACAGGACCTCTGCAGCACGCGGGTGATTCGAGCAGTAGTCTGCATACAGTTTAAACCCTTCCATATGATCCTGGAAGACATCGCCGTAGCATGGCTTGAGGGATTCGCCCTGTTTTCGAAAACAAACCAGTTTTAAAAAAATGAGAAACAACCAACAACAAGAAGCAGACGCACCACCAGAATAGCAGCTGCTCCCAGTCTCTGTTGGGCCACTCGCCCCAACGAAACACACAACACAACATACTTCAAACAGCTGCTCTTGGCGCTCAAACTCAAGGGAAGCCTCGAGGTCGGCAAGGAACTTGGTGTGGAAGGATCGGATCTTGTACGTGTTGCACTCGACGGTGAAAATCTCGGGTGCGCTCAGAACCGTGGCGGACTTGAGGGGCTCGAGGTACATGTCAATCATCTGGTTGAGGTCGGCGAGATACTTGCGCTCCGTGTTGATAATCTCCATCACGACATTGTCGCGCATCTCGGCCTTGCTCATCTTGGCCTTCTTGCCTGCGTTGGCGACGCGGGTGATGAGCTGGCTGAGCTCGCTCACCGTGCGCTGCAAAGCTGCCACAACGACCTCGGGGTCCGTGTCCGTCTCCAGCGAGGCCAGCGGCGCAGCGGCCGATTGGGAAGACGCAAGGGCGACCTTGATGGTTGCTGACGCTGCGGGGACAGAGGGAATGACCATCGCCTTGATCATCTGCTGCTCAAAGTCAAGCTGGCGAGTGACGGGGGGCGGGAAGACGAGTTGCTTGATTTGCTCGTCCGTGAGGGCGATGCGCTTGGCAGCACTAATGTTGCCAAGCAGGTTGCTACTCGACCCAGAGCCCGACGCTGGAGCAGTCGAGGCCACCGGCTGCTTGGAGCGGACTTGCAGAGTAATCTTGGCGTTATCCTTCATCAGCGCCATGATAAAGTCCAGCGACTTGGTGCGAACGTCAATGCCGTTGACCTCCCACAGCTCGTCGTTCGCAAACAGCTGCTCCGAGCGAATGGCAGCGCCGCCAGGCGCCAGGCGCGAGATTGTGGGCACCTTGGCCTTCAGGCCGATATCGGCAATCTTGATAAAGAGGCCGAACGAATCCTTGGCGTCCTTGACAAGTTCGATCGACCGAGTGTACTTTTTGCACACTTCGACTTCCATCGTGTTGAACGAGACGATGAGCGCCGTAAGCGGTGGCTCGACGACTTTACCCTTGGCATCAACGTACTTGAGGAAGAGGTCGTTGCTGTCAATCTTGCGCTTCTTGCTGATGGTCTCGAGAAAGTCAAACACCTTGGTTTCGGGCGAGATTGGCAGGGTGGTCTTCTCCTTGGCGAACGACAGAATGGCCTTGATGAAAGTCTGGCCGGAGGTCTTCGGCCCTGGCTTTGAAAGGGAAGGAGAGCGAGCTCGTTTGCCTTGGGCTACTTCGCCAGCCGAGGTCTCGTCACTCGGGTTGACAGGGGCCAGGAAGCTCGTGGCCGATTGCGTCGTCGCGAGACCGCCAGACACGCGAGCGGGGACGGGCGAGCCGATGGAGGGATCGCTCGAAGTCGGGGAGGGAAGATCCACGCTCGAGGATCGTTGAATCTCACCTCGAATGAGCTTGGCAATGGAGCTGGACGAGCCGATGCTGACAAACTTGCCATCACCTCCAGCAGAGGTTGCGGTCGGAGTAATGGTGCCAGGACCGGTGGGTGTGGCAGCGGGAGCCGCAGCTGGCGCGGTGAAGGACGACATGCGCTGGATGGAGCGGGACGTGGGGAGGGAGGACTTGCCGCTTGACGACGACGCTCCCGGCTGGTACTCGGCCTCGGCGGCCGCGGTGGCCGCAGCCACATTGTTGTACAGGCCACTCTCGACGCTGTTGTAGGCGTGCAGCAAGACCGGAGTCACTGCGGCAATGCGCATGACCGTCTGGTGCGTGGGTTTGGAAATCGAATTGAGCAGTGTGGAAGGCAGGGGCAGGGGCTGTGCCGTGAACGCTGCCTCGTAGCAGCGAAGCCTGTACAGATCGAGCGAGAGCGTCTCGATGATGCGCTCGTTCATGCGGATGCGCTGGTTGGTGGCCTCCTTGGTGAGATCGTCCATGTAGAAGGAAATGTTAAACTCGGGACCCTTTCCACGCTTTTCCTCAGCGTCAACCTTTTGTGAGATGTCGTGGATGGAGGTACGCAGAGTCTCGACCGCGCGGATGCGATCGGTGGCTTTCGTCAAGTGCAGACCGGCAGCCAGGTGAATGGCATTGATCCACTCGTTAATTTCCTTGACCGACTCGGACGAAAAGGAGCAGAGCTGACCATCGCCAGTGCTGATGGTGAACGATGCCTCGCGGCGAGAAGCATCCACGGTATCGAGGTTGACAACGCAGTGGTCGAGCAACAGAATGTGGTTGGGCGGCGTCGTCTCGTTGAGCGCGTCCTTCTCCTCCACCTTGTAGCACAAGAGGCGCGCGCCACGAAGCATGCACAAGAACTTTTTCGAGCCCTTGAACAACGGAGTCACCTGAGCCTTGGCTGCGGTCATGCGACGCTCTTCCAGGAAGCCGAGCTTGAGGACGGCGTTCGGGTCGAGGGGCGTGGCGGCGGCGTCGGGGTTGGGAGACGGTGCGGCAGAACCCCCCGCCGCCGCCGCGTGCTGTGCTGGCGTGGTGAGCGTCAGGTTGGACGGTTTGGCACCGCGACCAGTCGACGAGGCAGGCTCGGCCGCTGGCTGGGGCTGTTTGGTCTGCGCGGATGGCGGAGTTTCCACCAAGACCGACGCGCGCTTTGGCGCGGTGGGCGGTGGGACTTTGGCGGTGGCAGCAGGAGCAGAAGTAGTAGGAGTAGCAGCAGGAGCAGCAGCAGGAGCAGCGGCAGCGGCGGCAGTAGCAGCGGCAGCGGTCGCAGCAACCGGTGGCTCGGGAAGTGACGCGGCGGTCGGAGCGACAGACGGCTGGCGTCCGTGCGCAATAAGAATGGCCGAGACGGTCTTGCCGTCCTTCAGGTCCTGGTAGAATGTACCCAGCGCGTCAGCATGGGAGGCTTGGACAAAGTTGAAGCCGACGGTGGCGCCGTTGGCATCGCGCCAGGTGACAAAGCAGTCCGACGCCTTCTTCATGCTCATGTCCTCGGCAATCTTGCAGTCGACAATGACCTTGTCGCCATCGGCCTGCGCGACCAGGCGCAGGTACGCTTCGGTCGCTGCGGTTGCTGGCTCTTCCATGACGCCAATGTAGCACAGGCTGTCCGACGCGGGCTGCCACACCAGTCCGCCGCCGACATTCGACAGGATGTTGACCTGCGCCAGCTCTCTACAACAAGCAAGATCCAAGTTAGAAGGAAGCGGTGCCATCGCTTGGTGATGATGATGATGTTGTTGTTGTTTGTTATGAGTGAGTTTTGTGTTTTATCGCTTCCGACTGGCTTCTCCAACCTCGCAGTCAGTCATTCAGTCAGTCTGTCTGAAGTGTGTCTGTCTCTCTGTCTGAAGTGTGACTGTTGTTGGAGTGACGGCAGCGACAACAAAGATGCAAAAAAAGAAGCAAATCGTTCGGCTGTTTGAAAAATAAATAAAAAATAAATAAAAAATAAATAAAAATAAATAAAAATATAAAAACCGCATTGGAAGATAGTGGCGGTTCGACTCATCACTCAGTCACTCAGACCAGTCACTCAGTCATTCAGTTAGTCATTCAGTTTATCGTTCAGTTAGTCGTTCGGCCGGGGGGGGGTCGCTCTGCTGCAAGGTGGGGACGGGCGATTTGGCCAAACAAAGAAAGGGGTTTGTTGGAGTTTCAAATTCTGCGTTTTGGTAGCGTTGTTGGTCGATTTGTTAGCAAGTTTAGTAGCGACAAACCTGAATAAAAACACGTCCGCCATAGGAAAAAAAAAAGATGAAAACAAAAAGACTGAGTTTTGAGATTTTTTTATTGCGTTTGTGATCACTGTGATCGAGAGGACCAAACAGTCAAATCCGTCCAATCCAACCTGTAAAATTTCACACCAAATCGAACCATTCACACGAGATGAGCGAGCAAATTTCCAGGAATTGGCCGCTTTGGCAAAACTGTTGTCTGAGGTCGCCATCGATCCATCAGCGAGTCGCTGCTTGACCAATCCACCATCCAATAATTCCCACAACTGCCTCACCACTTGGACTTCTGGAGAGTCTCAGTATTTTGACCAGCCAATTTCCATTCTTCCCATTTTGGATTCGTGCAGTTCTCAAATTTCATTCATTCCCATCCAAATTCAATGCTGTCGGCCACTTTGTCTGCACGCACTCTGCTGCCTTCGCTGCTGCCCGCGCTCTCCGCGGCGCCCGCCATGTCCTGTAACGCATTGCACATACCTTCCCATGCACTCTTCCGTCGCTCTCCGCGCTTTACGCAATCGCTGAAACCCCACGTATTCCAAGCCATTGATGGAAAGATTGTTGATTTTGAAAATGTTTTGTTTACTTCCGACTGTTCCGGCGTTATAGATTCCGCCTCTGCCAAGCGCATCAAGGTCGACAAGCCTGTCGTCGAGCTTGACGGTGACGAAATGACCCGCGTCATCTGGGAAAACATCCGCGAGAAGGTAACCAAACGGCGAGCAAAAAAACGACCAACCCTCCATGAATTACAATCAAAATCACATAAAATTTGCGCTTTGTGGATGATTTTGAACTGTTTTTTTGTAATCACGAATTTTGAAATCAAGAGCGGGTTTGTGCGTATGAGTGTGGAGTGAGTCTGTATGAGTGTGTGAGTGTGAGTGAGTGGAGCGTTGCGTTTTTGAGTGTGAACGCATGGTCTATTGAAATTGTTCGCTCGTTTGTGGCCAGCTGGTTGACTGGCTGGCTGGCTGATCATTGTGCACTGACCTCGCTGTGTGCTGCATTGTTGCTTGTTGGATGACTTGCTTTTGGGTTGGCTTGGGTTGGCTTGCGTTGCGTTGGGGACTGAACGTTGCTTCTTTGCATCATTACAGCTGATCAAGCCCTACCTCGACATCCCGATCGAGTACTACGACCTCGGCCTGCCCCACCGCGACCAGACGAACGATCAGGTCACGATCGACGCCGCCAACGCCATCCTCAAGCACAACGTCGGCATCAAGTGCGCCACCATCACTCCCGACGAGGCCCGTGTCAAAGGCAAGCCAAGAAAGCCCAAGCCAATTCTCTCCCAATGCAACTGCCACTCAGCCACATGGAAAACCTGACAAAAAGTTCCCCAAAAACGACGCACTCTCGATCATTTTGCAATGCCCATTGACTTGTGACTGTCTGCTTGCTCTGTAGAGTTCAAGCTCAAGAAGATGTGGAAGTCGCCCAACGGCACCATCCGCAACATTCTCGGCGGCACGGTCTTCCGCGAGCCCATCATCTGCCCGAACATCCCGCGCCTCGTGCCGAGCTGGACCAAGCCGATCATTATTGGTCGTCACGCGTTCGGTGACCAGGTGAGAGCCGAGAGAACGCAAGGGAGGAAGCAAAAGGGGGGCGCGGAGAGATAAGATGGAAGCGTGCGCGTTTTGCTGTGACCCCTTCAACGCACAACCCCTCACCATCACCGTCACCATCACCACCAACATGGTCGAACATGTCTAATTTTTCTCGTTTCATTTTGTTGTGCCTGGCTTTGGGTCCACCGCAGTACAAGGCGACCGATTTCGTCGTCAACCAGCCCGGCAAGCTCGAGATGGTCTTCACTGAGGCGAACGGCAAGGTCACCAAGCACCACGTCTTTGACTTTAAGGCTCCTGGTGTTGCCATGGGCATGTACAACACTGACGAGTCCATCACTGGCTTTGCGCGCTCGTGCTTCCAAGTTGCGCTCAACAAGAAGTGGCCGCTCTACCTCAGCACCAAGAACACCATCCTCAAGCAGTACGATGGTCGTTTCAAGGACATTTTTGAGGAGATTTATCAAAAGTAACCGGAAACAAAGTCCAGCCGTTGCTGTTGCTGTTGCTGCTTCTTTGTGGCGTCTCGTCTCACTTGTCTACCTCTGCCATCCAACTTAGGGAGTTCAAGGCGCAGTTCGACGCCGCCAAGATCTGGTATGAGCACCGTCTGATTGATGACATGGTTGCTTTCTGCCTCAAGTCGGATGGCGCGTTCGTCTGGGCTGCCAAGAACTACGACGGCGATGTGCAGTCCGACACGCTTGCCCAAGGCTACGGCTCCCTTGGTCTGATGACTTCGGTGCTTGTCTGCCCTGACGGCAAGACCATTGAAGCTGAGGCTGCTCACGGCACGGTGACGCGCCACTTCCGCATGCACCAGCAGGTTAGGGGCGCAGAAATGTTGCTACCCCGTGTCTCATGGCGAGGCGTCGATACTGGGAGGGTTTCTAACATTCTGCAATTTGCTTGGTTTCCCCCCCCCCCTTCAGGGCAAGCCCACCTCCACCAACCCGATTGCTTCCATCTTTGCTTGGACCCGCGGCCTCGAGCATCGCGCCAAGCTCGACAACAACCCTGCTCTCGCCGGGTTTGCTCAACGTCTCGAAAACGAGTGCGTTGAAATGGTCAAGGCGGGTGCCATGACCAAGGATTTGGCTGGTTGCATTTACGGATTGAACAGGTGAGTTTGTTTTGAATTGTGCTGCGATTCCTGGAAATGACTTTGATGTGGTTTCCATCCAAACCAACTCATCCGTTTTCCGCTGCAGTGTTCAACCCAACCAGTACCTCCTGACGGAAGACTTCCTTGCCCAGCTCAAGACGCGCATGGACAAGCATTTCAAGCACTAAAAAAAAAACCATTGTTCGTTGCTTTTGTGTGCAGAAAGGACCGAGTTCATCATCTCCTTTCTCTTTTTTGTTGGTGGTGACTGTTTCATTTGTTCAGTGTTGCACAGAAATAGATCAAAACCCCACAATTTGAAAATACATTCATTGGTTGTGTGCTTTCTTCGTGCTCTACAATTCATCGCGTTCCGAAGATGGCATTTGAACTTTGTCTCCCTGACGCGGCATCTGATGGGAGCCTACAAATACTTGCTCTTGCCGTGGTGCCGCGTGCGGCTTGCGCGTCTTGGAGCACTCATCGACCGTGTAATTGTCACAGTCTGCCTTGTTGGCCGCGTACTCGGGAAATGCGCTAAAACCTTGCTTGCCAATCGCAATACGCGCGCATCGGATGCTTTGCGACGCAATCATCAAGTCATTGCAGGCGACTTGACACTCTGTGCGAGTCAATCACGACACGTTCGTTCGTTCAGCAGCGAGGATTGCGAAGCATCCCCCAAATTTTCTCCTACACCAAAAACCGCCATCATCGCACAAAACAAAAAAACCATCAACTGCAGTTTCTGTGTCTTCCTTACGATTGCCAGGAGTGTCGACGGGTATGACATCTCGAACATTGTTGCCGGTGGATGCGCCAAACTGAGTGCTGCACCACTGGGACTCGGCCATTCCGAACAGTCCCCAGCGCGTCTGCGGGCCCTTCGATCGGTCTTGCAGCGACGGGTCGAATCCAGATGCGTGTTGTGCAATGCACTGCGTGTGGGGTGGATTGGGGGGGGTGAGAGGGTCTGAGGTGAGTCAGATTCTCGACGACCGATTGATCCCACTCACTCGTATGCAACGTTTACCGTGAGTTTTGCAATGTCCTTTGCGGAGAAGGTGCCAATGTTGTGCAAGTGAGCGACCACTGCGCACTTGGACAGCGCGAACGCCGGTCGAGCGACCAGCAGCGCAATGCAGCCGACCAGCAGCAGTAAACTTGAAGCAGACTTTCGCACCATTCCAAGCAACGACGACTGACCCCCCTTTTGCCCTTTTGTGCGACTGTTGAACAAATCACAACAGAGATGGTGAGAAGAGACATCTATTTCCAAATCCAAAGCATGAGCGGCAGCTTCAAAATCAAAAAGCTTCAACATCACAATTTGCAGCAAAACAAAAAAAATCTCAAAAAAATCAAAACTCAGTTCTCCTTTTTTTTTTTTTTTTTTTTTTTCTTTTTTTTTTTTTTTAATTTTTGGATTTATTGATGGCTGCTGCTTTATCGTCGGCCGATGGGTCGTCGTCGCCCGCGTCTGCCTTTGCCGCCGAGCCGTTCATGCGACTGCAGGTGCGGATGCTTGTGATGAGCTTTTGCTCCTGTCCCTTCGTCCCCCCCCTTCCTTGCATCCTCGCTTTGGCTCTTCGATGGCCATCTGCTTCAGTGTTGTTCTTGATTTTGATTTTTTTTTTTTTTTTTGTCTCCTGCTGTCAGTCTCTCGCGTCTCGCTTTGTTCCTTACTCAACATCCCTTTTTTTTTCTGTTTTTGCTTTTGGCTCTTTCTTGCTTGTTTCTTTTGCTTGGCAGACGGCGCTCAAGAAGGAAAAGCTCTTTGTGACGGCTGAAAAGCAAGCCATCCGAGATTTGTTTGTGGACATTAACGACTCCACCGTAAGGCTGGCTTGGCTCACTTGACTTCACCTCGGATGCATCGACTACATACATGAGACAAAATGGCATGAAATGCCTGCATCAACCATTTTTTGCTTCTCGGTTGTGCGATGGCCTCGCTCTTTGGTGTCTAATCTCACTCTCACAATCTCTCCTCTCTCTCCCGCCCCCTCTCTCTCTCTCTCATTCTCTCCCATAGTCAAAGCTCCTGCAACTTTCGTGGACAACACAGCGCTTGCAACGCTACCTCGAGCTGCTTGTAAACAATCGCATGTCTCTCGACGCGTTTTCGCGCACCAAGGACATTCTTGAACGCGCCAAATTGGTGATGGCGCACTCCAAAGTCGGCCCCCACAGCTCCAACTATGAGCAGATGGTCCGCTTTCTTGTGGAGCACCCGCGCTTGCTTGCGGGCATGCTCATGCTGTCGGCCTCGTCGGGCACCATTGCCACCGTGTCTGGCACTGCGCCTGCCCCTTCTTCTTCGGCAGTGGCGACTCCGCTGTCGCCCTCCACTGTCAACGGCTTGCTGATCAACCAGTCGTCGCAAGGTGCGCTTTCGTCGACAGGCACCTCCATGCTATTCACGCCTGCCGGGGGCGCCAGCTCTCCGACAACAGCGCCATCGCCGACTGCTGCCTCCGCGAGCTCGTCCACCTGGAATCTCGATACAGAAAGCATGTTGCATGGCATTCTGTTCGGCTTGTATGGAAACTTTTTCCTTCCGGAGCAAGAACTGTCGGTTTTGACCATTATGCAGGTGAGTTAGCCCAAACCACATTGCAAATGTACACACATCACTCCACTCACGCTTCTCTCTCTCTCTCTCTCTCTCTCTCTCTCTTTCTCTCTCTCTCTCTCTCTCTCTCTCTCTCTCTCTCTCTCTCTCTCTCTCTCTCTCTCTCTCTCTCTCTCTCTCTCTCTCTCTCTCTTTTTGGCTCCGACCCGCTGTTCATAGTCTGTGCTCGAAGACCACTTTGGGCTCCGACCCGCTGTTCATAGTCTGTGCTCGAAGACCACCTCGCCAAGAGTGAGAACAAGCTCACCTGCATGCGCCACAACTCAACGTTGACGAAAATGTTCACCCTCTATGCTCGGTACGACGCAACCCAAACAATTTTGGCTTTGGCGCACTGCCCATGCTCCCTTGGTTCGTACATCCGACTCAGTTAAACAATCTCTTGTTGTAGATCGTATGCTGGTGGAAAACTCTACTTGATGGCGGCTTTGGCTGAGCCAATCCTGGCTGTCCTCGCGGATGACGCGTTGGATTTGGAAATCGAGCCGGTCAAAGTGTTCTTGTCGCTGACCGATGCCAACAGGCAACTCGTCTTGGAGCAGTTGCTCGAGCGCCAAGTCGCAGAGGGCAAAGTTTCCCCGTTGCTGCAGGTGGAGGGTCGACTGAAACTCGACCATGTGCCGACGAGTGACGAGCTCGTTTCCTTGCCTCTGATGAAGGCCACACTGAACGTCGTGTACGACAAGCTCATCGAGTTGTGTGTGCTCTTTGTTGACTCTTGCACGCGCACACTGGCCAGCATGCCATACGGCATCAAATGGTTTTGCAAGCAGGCCGCCCGCGTTGCCCGCGCTGCCCCGACTAAATCTGCGCAACCGCTCACGCAGCTCGATGTGTACTCCTTGTTGGGAGATCTCGTCTTTCTGCGCTTTATCAATCCTGCGATCGTGACACCAGAACCGTTTGGAATCGTCAACACTCCCATCTCGACAACCGCTCGTCGCAACCTCACGCTGATCGCCAAGGTCTTGCACGGAGTTGCCCGTGGGACGCACACCCAGCAGCAACGCGAGTCGTACATGGTTCCGTTGCGCGACCGCCTGCAACAAGTGCAGATTGGCACCTTTTTCGATGCTCTTGTCAACGTCGGAGACATTGCAGACTGTCTGCAATACGTGCCAAACTCTGTCACGCACAAGGGCCGCAAGAAGACAGCCTTGCTCACGTTGAAAGAGCTGTACGCTATTCAGTCGTACGCAGTGGCCTTGCAACAGCAGCAGCTATTAGCGCAGGATGGCGCTGCAACCACGGGCGCTGCGGCTGCCGCCAAGAGCAACCCGTTCGCAAAGTGGAACTTGAACGCGGCCGAAGCCACAGAGCTACAACGCCTGTTGAAACGGCTGCCAACGCCTCCTCCACCGCCGCCATCGTCGTCGTCCGCGGCTGCTGGCTCGAGCAAAGTGCCGAGTCCCTCGGGCGGGCAAGAGTCCCTGCCGTCCCCGAGCGCGCTGGCCGTGCTGGTGGATGGCGAAGAAGTCGAGTCGGAAGTGTTGGTGCTATCGATCGATCGCAACCCGGAAATGGCCCTGATGACCGAGTCCGAGGTGATGGCCCTGCACCAGCAGCCGGCCGCCAATGTGGCATCGCCCCCGCAAGCAGAATTGCTGCTGGCGGATGAGCGCAAGAAGCTGCGCATTGTGCTTTGCAGCATTGACTTTAGCTACCAGTGGCGACAACGCACCATGCTGGATATTTTCGAAGCCGAGCTGGTGGAGGCCCAAGCCCTCAGCAACCGCTCCCTCGCTTCGCACATTCAAGAAACGCTGCGTTGCTTGCGACGGCTCCCTGCAGAACACACGACCAACAATTGCCAGGCGCTCATCTCGCTGCTGCAGACCGACTACAAGACTCGCTCCAAGTACGTGTCCTACCTCGTTGAGAACAAGCAGCAGCTGCTCGTGACGCAAGACCAGCTCAAGCGCCAAATGGACCGGATGGCTCGGGATCGCAGCGTGTGCGCAGAGCAGTTCAAGACAGTCAAGATTCGCAAGTTCCTCGAGAAGCGCGAGCCCGACATTGCGCAGTTTGTTCTCCGCTTCCAAATGACTGAGATGATTGACGAAAAGGCTGCTCTCGTCAACTTGTACCTTCGAGAGACCCTGCAAGCCATCACTGGTGATCCGCTGTTTGAAGGCATGTCCGAAGCCGAGCTCGAGGAGGCGCAGTCGGCCACCGAAAAACACTTTATGTGCAGGATTTACTTTTGGGGCTTCTGGCCGAACGGCCTTGTCGATATCGAGCGCGACAAGGTGTTTACGTCCTTCATCGCCTCCATGGCGCCCTACGTCACGGTGGATCACGAAAGCCTGCAAATTCCGCGACAGCATCAGTCGGAGGCGCCTTGGCCTTCGGCTCAAAAAGAGCTGCTTCGCATTAACGCCTTCAAGGCGCCTGGTGACAAGCTCAATTGCATTGTTCAATGCTGCAAGACAATCATCGACTTGATTCAAATGTCGGGCAAGCCCGCTGGTGCGGACGACTTTTTCCCCGGTAAGCGGCAGTTGACGTCATTCGGCGGACTGTGTTTTTTTGTTTTTGTTTTCGTCTTCTTTTGACTCACCTCGCTTTGCTTGCGTCCATTGACCGCTTTGGCTTCATCCTTCCTTGTCACCCGTGCGCTTGCAGTGCTGGTGTATGTCATCATTCAGGTCAATCCGCCTTCGATGCTTTCGACAATGCAGTACATTCGCTACTTTTACGAGTCTCGCGCCAAGGGTGAAGGTTCTTATTGGTGGTCGCAGTTCACCATTGCAATCGAGTTTATCAAGACGATGGAAGACAAGCGTGGCAAGAAGCCCAACAAGTAGATGTATCCTTTTCGTTGCGCCAATCTTTTTTTTTTCTCTCTCTCTCTCTCTCTCTTTTGATTTTTGCATGTTTCAATGCCAATCATCTGTGCTGGGCACGGAGGGGTTTGCGGTGTTTGGGTGTGTGTCTGTGTGCGTGTATGTGTACTGTTTGTGAATTCATTGATGGTCTTTGTGCATTGGTGATTGCATGTGAAGAGGAAGATTTGTGTTGAACAATCTGGTTTTTTTTTTTTCTCCCTTTTGCTTTCTCCCGTATCGATTGACAGCAAACAACATTCAAATGTCAGAGACAATGATTCGCTTTATTGAGCTGAACAAGCATCCCAATTTGGACTCTCAGTCTCCAGCTCAGTCTCCCTTTTCCAGTTTGCTTTCGTTTCACATTTTGTGTGCGAATCCAGCAGTCGCCCCCAGCACTCCAACTCTCGCCGCGCAGTGTCGCCTGTTTTGATGACACCAAGCCTTCCCTCTCCAAAGGAGGTCTTCCGTCTCGCCCCAGACCAACACCGCGCCTTTGTACAACTAGTGCGGACCCCATTGTTTTTCGTTCTGAGCTTTTCGAGCCTGAAACCGCGACTCACAAACGTGCCTTGCTTTGCCTCTCTGCTTGTGCCACGTTCGAATTGCTGCGGTGTTGTTCTGATTGTTGCTGCTGCTGTTTGCTGTTGTTGCTTGCAGTGGACGGAGACCTTGGTCAACAGCGGCAACCATCTCCTTTGCGATGCGCGCCAGGGCTCGCTGGGCGCTGCACTGCTCGTCTCGCTCTTCTCTGAACGTAAGCGCCGCCTGTTGTTTGCTGCATGAGGCAGAAGTCCTCTGTGGGCTTGATTCGTTTGCCCTTGTGTCATGCGCTGCTGCTGGCCCCGCCTGGCTTGCTGTGGTGTGCAGCTGGAGACGAAAGGTGGAGGAGGCTGGAGAATTGGCGCGCTTTTGCTGTCCGCTTTGCTGTGTATTTGCTGTGCATTTGGCTGTGTATTTGGCTATGGCTGCATTTAGCTGTGCATTTGGCTGTGCATTTAGCTGTGCATTTGGCTGTGCATTTAGCTGTTTTGGCTGCTGCATGTGGCTGCTGCATGTGGCTGCTGCATTTGGCTGTGCGAACCATTTTTGGTCTAGTCTGCTTGTTTTTCTTGGTTTCTTGTTTTCATGATTGTCAATGCTTGTTTCCCCACAGACGACGTGAAGCCGAACGCAAATTTCGCAGAGTCCGAGTCCTCGTTCCTTCAGACGCTTTGCATTCAACTCAGCGTCTGCATTGGATGTGTCAAGCGTATGTATGAATCCGTAACGGATAGCGCACTGGTAGGTTTGCTAGACTCTTCGTCTGCGATAGCAAGTAATCGCGAGGCCTTTCGAGCGCATGCGGCGCATGTTCGCCACCAGCTCGCCTGTTTTGCCGAATATCGCCTTCCACGCGCCTTGCTGTCGGCGGCTCGTCCACATCGCACGAGTCAACCAATTCGCCCTCACTTTGCAGAGTTCCAGCACATTGATCGCCGCCGTCCCACTCGAACTGCCCGGGCGTTGCCCTTTCACAAGCTGGGCGATGAGTGGACCCATTTTCTGGTCCGTCCCGAGGATCAGCACTTGTCTGCTTCCGTTCGACTGGTGAACAGCGTTGTGACTCCAGTTTTTGAGCTTCTTTGGTGTCCAAGCCTGCTCGAGAGCCAGCAGTTGGTCGCGGCACTGCAGGACACGTTTCTGCGATTTGAAGGGTTGTCCGCCAGCAGGACGAATGCTGCTCGGACTCTCTGGTCGCAGATGTTTACAAGAATTGAACGTGCTCGCCGAATCCGGCAGGGCATCCTTTCCTCTGCCAGCCTCATGCGGCAGACGAGCGTCGTCAAAACCGAGCACGCGCCTCCTGCAGCAGCGTCCCTAGAAATCCCGCCTGCGCTTACCGCCTCCGATTCTTGCATTGTCATTGATGATGATGATGATGATGACGACGACGAAGATCCAGAGGCGGATGAACTGTTGAGCCAAGCAATCGAAGCCGAAAGCATTCGTAAACGTCAGCAATATTTCGACAGCCTTGACAGTGAAGACGCAAGTTTTGAGCCTGCCAGTAAGACCAAGGATGAGGAAATGGAGGACAATGAGGACCTTGAGGAAATCAAGGAAATCGAGGAAATTCCTTTAAACACTCGCTCAGGACTGGTACCCTGTCTTGCACGGCACTTTATTGTCAGTGTTTCCATGCTTCAGACACAGTTTGGCAACGCACCTTGCTCTGCGATCGCAGAGCTTTTGGCGCTCTTCAAACCCGCCTTGTCCTCGTCGTCCTCTTCTTCCTCTGGTCTGTCCGTCGCAACATGGAAAGATGTCGCTGAAGGCGCTACAACAACCACCACTTCTAGCACTCACCTCCAGTGGTCGCCGAGGCAATTCGAGTCCTTTGACGCATTTGCGCAATGTTTCCAAGCAATGCTGGCATGTCGTGGTCCGTTTTCAAGCAAGGAGGACCAGCTGTCGGGTCTCGGAGCCTGGATTCGCCAGAATTACGCTGCTGCTGCTGCTGCTGCTTCGACCGGTCTGGCCGCGCGTGTGGCCGAGCCAGATAGCGATTTCGAAGGGTGTCCGGTCTCGCTCTATTTCGCTGACACGGTCGAGAACTTGCTGGACCGAGCGTCCGGACTGGTGCACTTGATCCCGATTGACCCGTTGCCTTGCTGGTCAACCATGCTCGTTTTGCTGAACGACCTCGATGCAAACACGATGCACTGGGCTTTCAGTCACGGCTTCGATCGCCTGTACCACGTTATCGTCGGAAGGCTAATCACGGGTGCGCAATCTCGCTCCGAGTTGCTCGTACTTTGCCAGTGCTTGACTGCCTGTCTTGGTCCGCTGGGCTGGCAGCCTGACCCTGCCGACCCTACGTTGGCTGAGACCCTATTCGACGCCATCAAGACTAACGAGTTCATGGTCGATATCGCATCGGGTCCAGACCCGCCAACTGATGTGGGTCTCTACTTTGAGTGGAGTCTTCCTCTGCTCTCGGCTCTCGTTCCGCACATTGAAGCGTGCCCGACAGTGTTTCGCCGAGCGCTCGAATGGTTCCTCGTTGAACTGCCTCGTCAAAGTCAACATCTGAGAGATCGCCTCCGCGCATCTTTGTCCCTCGGCTTCAACCTTCTCGTACGGTTATGCAAAGCGGCTCCAACTGCCGCTGTTGCCGATGCAAACTCTACTGCGCAGCGCTTCATTCTGTTGGATACGGCCAGTACCTGGGTGCCTCCCGTCAAAAAACTTGTGATGAAGCGAAATCAGTTTGCATTCCAGTGTACCCAGAAATTGCTAGAGGCTGATGTGGACTGGCTTGAGCGTAGCCTGTTCACGGTGTCAACTGCACAGCGGCGATCCAAGGAGCTGCGCGTTGTGATTTTCGATAAGCTGACCAAGGATGCGCAGGCTTTTGAATTTCTCAAGCCGTTCTGGGAGTCGCTCGTTGTCATGGACAATTACACGACACCTGCTGACAAGTCGCCACCAATCTCGCGTCTCAACAAGCTCCTTTGCACCCAGATTCTGCGGGTTCTGCAGGCGGTTTTAGAAGTGAAACAAAATCTCCAGGCCGAAGCTGCAGCGCAACATCACAGCCCGCAAACGTCCCTCGACCTTTGCGCTCGCATTGAGGAAGTCGAGTCGTCATTTCTCGACCTGGCTGCCGGATGGCTTGATGTGCTTGGCGAGACAACTCGCTGGGCCGACACGGACGTTTTCTTTCACTGCCAGTTGATCGCCTATCTGGCCGCCAACTACTCCTGGCACGATAAGGTGGGTTTGGCAATCAAGCAACTTGTGGGAAGCTGTCTGGAGCATCAAGATATCTCAAGCGCTCCTGTCTTGCTGGACAACACGGACGAGCGACTTCCACGCAAACCCACACCCGTCCATGAGCACGCTATGGAAATGATTGCAGGAGTGCAACTCCAACACATCAACCGGGCTGTGTTTTTGGCGTGCTGCAAGGCACCCGTCGTTGTCGATTTATTGGTCGCGACCGTCCTTGGAGGACTGGCGCGATATTCGACCGATTGCGAGAAGGTGAATCGACGGACCAAGCAATCAGCAGAGAGCAAGCAAAAGTCGCTCGACAAGTTGCGCGTCATTCGCACGCATCTGATCGACTTTCTGTTCTTGCTGGTTTCCCTCGCGCGCGATTTTCGAGCCGATCTTCCATCTCAAGTCTTGGATACACTCGAGCAGACTTTTGTCAAGGTGTTTGACGAGCCCGAGCAAAATAACCTTGTGCGGCTTGTGCCCGCCATGGCGGCCAAGTATCCTGAGCAAGCAAGACGTGCTGGTTGCGAGTTCAACCCCGAGTTGGATGATGATGTGACCGACATGGAAGTCGATGGTGAGAGTGGAAGTGATGCGGAGCAATCTTCCGATGCCGAGCAAACGTCAGCCGAGCATCAGTCTGAGCATAAACCTCGTCACGACGACGCTCTCGACGACGACCAGCCAGATCTTGAGCCAAACAACGACGATGCCCACGAAGCGCCAGCAGATCTTGAGCCAAAGCACGATGCCCAGGAAGCGCCCGAAAAACTGGGTGAAGCCGACCAAATGCTCGCGGATGGCCAACTAGAGGAGACGACTATGGCCATGGAGGTGGGTCACCAAGAGAAAGCCGCTTCCCCTCCGCTTTTTTCGTCAGTCTTTGATGAGGAAACGCAAGAATTCGAAGACCCAGTCCCGTTCGTGACGAGCAAAGTCCAGCATGCTCCGACTGAAGGTATAACTCCCATGAACATCCAGCCACCAGTCTCTGCCGCCCCCTTACCTCGACGCGTCACATCATTACGGAATCGGCAGTTTGTGCTGAAAGAAGACGTCGATGATGATGATGAGAGTAGCGATGACGATTTGCGCTTTCCGGACACAAGCACGCTGCTTCTTGCCGCCGCAACTGGTGCGGCCACTCGAACGCAGCAACAGATTTCTGGTTCCAGTGTGGTCTCTGAGGAAGAAGATGCTCATCGTGTCGGACAAGTTGTTTCATCGTCTCTTCAACATCCGAGACCGACTGTTTTCCCAACTGCCGAGCATACGCTTGCAAAAGCCCCCGCCTCGACTGCAGCCTTCAGCACGCTCCCGAAACCGACGACAGCACAAGCTGCACTGCCCGTCAAGCCGGTACTATTGTCCCAGGGAAGACCTTTTGCACCTCAACCGCCGCGGCCACGCTCAACAGAGCCTTCAGCTTCTTCTGCTGACACCTCCAGCAATAGTCGTGCCTCGCCAACCCGACCACACGCACACAAGCTGTTACTCCCTCGAAAAACTGCACTTGTTCGCAACAACTTGCAAGCGAATCGTGCGGCTGTCATTTCCGAAGAAGAACAGGCAGCCATTCGAAACAAGGACGTGGTGGATCAGTATCAACCGGCTGCTGCGACAAGCACCGGATTGGATCCAAAGTTCCTGGTCTCCTATGGTAAGCGACCTGCTGGACTCAGTCGACCCGCCTCGCGAGCTTCGCCTGAACCTCGATACAGTGCCGACATTGTGCAACAACAGCAACCGCCTGTGGTGGTGGCAGCTCGATTCATACCGCTTCGCCAGCGACTGTTGTCGTGGACCCCTCTGGCTCTGTTTCGGGGCGAGATTGCCGAATTGATTGACGCCGTGAACCAGAATGCTCCGCTTCCGGAGCAGATGCTCGTGAACTCGTCGCCTGCTGGCCAGATTTCTCGCAAATGCGAAGGCAGCCGCGTCCCAAACGTCATCACCAGTTGGGAGCAGTACGTTGCCCTGTTCGAGCCCCGCTTCCTGCTTGAATGCATTCACAATCTGGGTGAGGTCTTGGTGATGAACTCGCCTGCAGCAGCTCAACCAAAGGATGCCAGCAAGCCGCTCGTATTGGGCGAGAACTGCCTCTCGCGTCAGGTGACGCGATTCGGCGATGTTTCGGATGAGCAGGCTTCGCTCTGCCGTGTCAAGCTGCGTTCAGATCAAGCCAACCTTTTCGAACAGTTTTTCCTCGGAGACTTTCACATCTTGGGACTGCCCAAACAAACGAACAATGGCAAGACAGGCTTCGACCCGGACGAGGCACTTCTTTGTCAAGTGGTGTCGCGGAAGGCAGATTGGTTGGAGATCGAGGTCAACCCCTCGCACCCTGCTGCGCGCAAAGTATTCATGAACGCTTCTACGCTTCACTTGTTCAATTTGGGTTCCAATCCCACCATGAATCGGCAGCATGAAGCCCTGAGCACGATGCAACACTCGGACTTTGCCAAGTTTATTTTCAACCCAAAATTACTTTTCGACATCATCAAGCTGGCACGCTCCAAGCCCAGCATGGACAGCATCACGTATCTCAAAACCAACAAGGAGCTCAACGACTCGCAGTTCGAAGCCGTCAAGCTGGCCATGTCCTTATCCCACGGTCTGTGCTTTTGGCAAGGTCCCCCTGGGACGGGCAAGTATGTCGACTCCCACAGAGTGTTGTGCTTCATATGTGATAGAGCGGAGAGGAGTTTTAGTGCCTCTGTCGATGAGGGCCGATTGCTCACCTTGTATTTTTGTTTTTTTTTTTTTTGTTTTTTTGGTGTTTTTTTTTTTTTTGGTGTGTGTGTGTTTTGTTTTGCTTTGTTTTGTCTTGTCTTGTCTTGTCGGTTTTTTGCACACCTTACCTTCCCCCCACCTCCCAACTCTACATAGGACGAAAACCATTCTGGCATTGTTGGGCGCCGTCGTCCGCAAAAGTATCACAGATGCGCAACATCGGCTTGTTCCAAACGAAAAGTCACCAGAACTGACCCGACGAAAGCGAATCCTGGTGTGCGCTCCCTCCAACACTGCCGTCGATGAAATCATTTCACGCTGCGAGGCCGAGCTTTTGTCGGTGGGTGACCTCGACTTGTCAAAGCTTCCCATCGGGTTTGATCCCAGCCAAATCGTGACAATCACGCAAGGCCAACATCGCTATCGCCCAGTTGTGGTGCGTTTTGGCCAGTCCGATCATCCGACCAGCTTGGAGCGCCGGTTGGCAAAACGCATCGGCAACGACGCGATCAGCGTTCGAGACCGCAACGCCCTCAAAACCGAAATCTTTATGAGTGCCGACATTATTGCCTGCACTCTTGTTTCGAGTGGTCTTGAAACATTGAGCACTCAGGTGGCAGAGTCCACTCAGAGGCTCAAGGAGCAGCTTGCGAGTCGCGGCGGCGGTTCAATTGTGACCAATCAGCCGTTCTTTGACATGCTCATCATTGATGAAGCTTCGCAATGCATTGAGCTCGAGTCTCTCATTCCGTTCCGAACCCGCCCACGAGTTGCGGTGTTGGTAGGTGATCCCATGCAATTGCCGGCCACGGTGACCTCGATGGAGGCTCGGCAGTCCGGACTTTCGCGATCGTTGTTTGAACGCGTCGCACAGGCTGTCACGTCGGCCCCAGACCGAGCAGCTGCCGATAGTCCTATTCGACTGCTGTCTACGCAGTATCGTATGGCTCCGCAAATCGCCAAATTCCCGAATCGGGAATTCTACGAGGGCCGGCTCACCAATTTTTACCCGGATGATCATTTCCGCCTGCCATGCCACGAACAGCTCCAGTTTCGACCGTTTGTCTTCTACAACGTTCATGAAGGCAAGGAGAAACAGGATAAAAGCAAGATCAATTGGGAAGAGGTCGACACAGTGAGTCGAGTTTTGCAAAAACTCCATACCAAGTACCCCGAGATGTTTGAAGGCACCCAACCTGTGTCCATCGGCGTGCTTTCTCCCTATTCGGATCAAGTGGGTTTGATTCGCAAGAAAATCGATCAAAAATTGCCCCACATGCAAAAGTTTATCGAGGTGGACACGGTTGACGCCTTCCAAGGACGGGAAAAAGACATTGTTCTGTTTTCGTGTGTTTTTACAGACCGGATTGGCTTTCTGGCCGACACGCGAAGGATGAACGTGGCGTTGACGCGTGCGCGAAAGTGTCTGTTTGTCATCGGTCGAGCGGAATCGCTGATGAATGGATCGGAACCAAGCTGGAGACATCTCGTTCGGTACGCGATCGACAAGGAAGTGATGTGCGATTCCCACGGCATCCCATCGGTCGACAAGTTCCGCAAAACTAGCTCTGGTCACTCTTCCCACTCTGATCGATCGAGTGTCGGGCGCCATCATCGTCATGACAGCGAGAACCGCAGGGCGGAAGCTCAATCCACTCACGCGTTGCCGGCCCCGACTGGCACCAAGAGCGCGGCTGAAAGCGCAGCAGTACATCCTGGTCACCGTTCAAAGTCACCGCATACCCACTCAGGGTTGCAAAATCCTCACCAAGCGCCGAGCATGGCGGCGTGTCCGAAACCTGGAGGGTACGTCGCGTTTCTGCGCCAGAATCCTCCAAAATCCGATGTAACTCCTGCCGATGCTGCCTTGGCGGTGAATGTCAGCAAAGCTGCGGCCCCAAGCAGCGCGTTGGTGACTCAAGAAATATTCAGCGCAGCTCAGCTGCCCGCATCGCTTCAGACAGCAAAGCGAAGCTGGGAGAACTTTGAACCTCCAACAGATCCCCGCAAGCGGCCTCGCATGGAACCCTCCGGCGCGCAAATCGAACCCAGCCGTGCAGCTTTGGTCGCCGCCGCCGCCGCCGCCGCCGCCCCGACTCCGATTGATCTGCCCTTGACCTTGGGTCCAGTCTTGCACCCGTTTGATCTGCCGCTCCAGCTGCCAGGGGCGTCTTCGCTTCAAAGACATGCGCCAGTCCAACTTCCTCCGCAGCCACCCAAGACTTCCGAAGTTCTCGCACGACACAAACAACAGCAGCAGGGCATCGACCATTCGAAACGGCAGACAGCTCGGCCCTCCATGACCGCGCAGCCCGCCCCCGTGCCGAGAGGAGAATCGACGTCTGTTTCGCCTTCCTCCTTTGTGCCTACGCCAGACCAGAGGCGATCAATGGAGCTCGCGCGAGACATACAGCTTGCTGGCTCTTCTCGCTCAGAGTCGACGCATCATGCTTCCAATGCTACCAGCTCCAGGGGATCTTTTTCTGCTCATTCCAAGCCGTCCAGTCACTCGGATGGGTCGGGCCTGCGACGTGAGCTCGCAAAGTCCAGGCCAGGTCAGACGCCATTGCTTCTACCTCCAAAGCCTGCCGCAGCTCGTCCGAGCAATAACGCCAGTCACGCGATGAGCGGCAGTCAGCATCACCATCGATCGTATTCTTCGTCCTCGGCTTCTTCCAATGCCAATGGCAACCGGTTTCTTCCCTCTTACTCCCCTTACTCGTCGTCCGCTCCTGTCGTTCGGCGTTCCGGGCACGACTCCCCTGAAAGGCGGACTGACAACCGACGCTAGCGACTGTTGAGCAATAGTCGCCACGCAGAAAGGAAACCCCTTCCTCCCTTTTGGGGTCAACAGTTCCAAACAAAAAACAAAAAAAAAAAACCTTCGCATTCTTAACCAAAACCTCACTTGTACTGTTATTATTTGTATTTCTACTTGACAATAAACCCAAGACTAACATCAGTAAATAATCATCGCAGCGTCGACGCGGTTGCAATTAAACTCTCCGCCTGTTGGTTTGAAAGCGAAACCACAGCACCGTGAAGAAGTGAGATGACCAATACACTGAGGTTGCAAAAATAGAACAACAGCACATCTCATACCTGCCCGATCAAATCATTCTCGTCAGCAATTGCTCGACCCGTTTCTTCGCGGAGAATCTGCAGGTGACATAAGGTGACAGATAAGCACGGTTCATCTTCGATAGCAAACCAACCAACAAGGAACCAAAACGCAAGCCGCTTAGCACTCACATTGATCCAGTCATGCATATCCTGACTCGACTTTGCAACTAGTTGCCACACGCGAGGTGCAGTCACAATCTCAAAGCAGTGGTCTTTCCCCTTGATCTGACCTGCCTGAATGATAGAGTCTGCTAATGTAACGTGGCCCAGCGGCTTTTTGTCGCCCAATTTCTGCGAGATGGCATCACAGACGAAGGGGAGTGAGTGAACGCTCTCAATCGACAAACAAAAACGCAAAAGGAAAGGAATAGCACCGACAACGACAAGGAACAACAACAAGAACAACGACTTCAAACCTTATAGTATGCAAGGCGCGCATCTCCCGCCATAACAAACCAGCGAAGTTTCCAGGAAGACTTGTTATTGTAGCCGCGTTTGAGAAGATAGCCTGCGTGTCGCCCATCTTCGTCAACCACGAGCCCTCCGGTGGAGGCGAGCTGCTCGGATGTTTCTTCAAGCTGCTCTCGCGTGAGCGAACGTTCGCGTTGTCGCCAATTAAAGGAGGTCGGCAGGGACGATGAAAGCGAGTCTTGCGGCGATGCTATCGAAGATACTGGTGTAAAGAACGCTGACGACGCCGGTACGGATGCAGGCAGCGTTGAGCTGGACGAGCTTGAGCTTTCTTCGTGCTGTTGGAGCTGCATCAGCCCAGCGCGTGCTGAAATGGGCACTGGAGTCGAGGTCACGCCGCCTTGCACGGCAAGCGCGGAACCGGTCGTGGCAATGGATGCACTTGGAACACCCTGTGGAAGGACTGTCCACCCTAGTGTTGGGGACGGCGAAAACGCCGCTGTTGCTGTTGAGGGCGGTGAGGTTGCCAAAAGCGTTGTAGAGGGACTGGTCTTGCGTTGAAGGAACTCGGGCGTCGTCATTGCATCGAACGGAGATGCCGGGAGTGTTGGCGATTTTGCCAACAGGCGCATCTGGTGGTTGTTGGGGTTGTCCGTGCCACTATTCGCGGTTAGCTGAATCGCTTGAACTTTGGCTCGTGCAGCCTGGATGTCAGCCTCGATCTCGTCCGACTGGAACACGCTTGCCAGCCGCGCCGTGCTTGCAGCATTAGTAGAATTAGTATTAGTATTACTAGCAGTCGTCGTGAAATCAATCGGAGGACTGGACATGATGGATAAACTTGGCGACTGTGGAATTGAGGATTGCTGCATCGACTGCTGAACGCGGTCTGCAAAGGCAATGTGGAGCATTCCCGTTGCCAGGCTCGTGTCTGACGCATCGCTGTTGATCGACCCGTGCAGCAGACCGCGCATGTCGGGACTGGCGCCCGGGCTGGTCAGCGCGACGATGCCATTGCCACTGCCGAAGGGCGAGTGCACAAAGTCCATTGGGCTCGGACGGTGCGCATTTCGACCTCCTCCTCCTCCTCCTCCTCCTCCTCCTCCGCCGATACTACCATCGCGAGTGCCAGCACCTGCAATGTCCAGTGGTCGTGATGCAGCGAAGGGCGGCGGCGGCGTTGCCCTCGACGTCACGTTGTCTGCGTCGTTTTGGAACTCCCCGTCCCAGCTGCGGTCGATGTAGCTCACAGTGTTGGTACTGCCATTGCTACCACTACTGCTGCTACTACTGCTACTGCTACTGCTACTGCTGTTGTTGCTGCTATCGATGCTTGGGCTGTTGCCGCCCCGTTGCTGGGACGCGGCCAGTTGGCGCATCTTGGCGAGCGCGGGAGAGTCGCGCTGCTGGGCAGACATTGAAACCGAAATAAGACTGCGCAGAGTTCGAATAGAACACCGGCTGCTGCAGATTAGATGATGGTTGGCGAGAGAGCAGCAGCAATGGACGAACGCGATGGAAGTGGGAATCACAGGTTGAGCGAGGAATCGAATTCAGCAAAAAGCGCGGAAAGCGGATGTGGGAAAAAAAAAAAGCGATGATGAGTCATGCAACGGCGACGCATTTGGAGCGATTGTGTCTGAGTCGTTGTAGATGGGTGATTTGGTGTGGTGTGATGTTGAGTATGTGTAGAATCAATTGTGCATGTGAAACACGAAAAAAAAAAAATACAAAAAAAAATACAAAAACCCAAAAAAAAATATGGGAGAAGAGCGATTCGAACGCCCAGCCGTCAGATCTGGAGTCTGCTGCTCTACCATTGGAGCTATTCCCCCACTTCGTTGAAGGACTTCCTGGGCAAATTCCTTTCGTTTCTCTGCAGACGAGGTGTGTTGCAACGATTTATGAACATGACCTTGGAGGAGTGTGCTGCGAGTTCCACCAATCAAGAAGTGCTCTAAAATGAGTTTGGTGTCCAAAAGACTCGCTAAATTGTGGCGGGTGCAGCCAATCTCACTCCAAATCGCATGGCGCGGTGGTCTTGAGCGCGCTGGACGCTTCAGAGGTCTTCATTTATCGAGACAAAACATGTTTCGTGATGCTCAGTACTTTGCGGCTTGGGTCTTGGAGGTATCGGCCCGGTAACCTCGTTGAATGATCCAACGCTGCTTTCAAGACTCGGCGATTGATGAATTTGTTCAGATGTGTATGCAATTGGAGTTGTAACTCTGTAATCAAACACCAAAAATGCTACATTCAACAACAAACCAATACAACATATGTTTACACAACACACTGCACCAAAAACCGGAGTTGTGCGCGCCGCGACGCTCGGAATCAAGCGGACCAAACATGTGTTCGCCAAACACTCTGCATCTTTGGCTTGACAATCGTAGTGCAACTCTCAGATCTCATGCAATCGTGGAATATACGAATTATTACACAACTTTGAGCAGGAGGAGTGGGCAGCGCGTTCACCTGTTTTCTTGAGCGCGCGAGCAAAGTTGGTACTTTGACTTGACAATTGCTGACTGAAAGCAGGAACCGATTTTGCTCTTTCCGCCACTTTTATTTATTTATTTTTATTTGCAGCGCTCTCTTCATGATTGATTGTTGTTGAGGGAAACCATCGCTCCAACAAACCACTCTCGCTTCTTGTAACATAAACAGCTCATCTCGATCAGTCTTGTTGTTTTTGTATTTCTTGTACGTTTGTCGACCTCGTTCTCTGATTCTCAGTCACTCCGTGTGTGTGTGTGTGTCTCTCTCTCTCTCTCTCTCTCTCTCTCTCTCTCTCTCTCTCTCTCTCTCTCTCTGCCTCTTCCTTGACTTGCTGCAGTGAACTCGCGCTCACACTCTCAGTGCATTCGAGCTGTTGTGTTGTGAGCTGAGTGGGTTTGTTTCTTGGTTTTTTTGTCTTGTAAAGTCGGAGCCTCACAGAGTTCTTCGACGCCGGGGCCCACATACACACATCACAAGTGAAGCCATGTTGCACAAGACGCTTGCAAGTGTCGGGTTGTGAAGCGGGTTGAACGACACACCACGAGTGAGCGACAGAGAGCGACATAGCAGCGCCTTTTCCCCCTGATCTCCCTCATCCCCTAACCCTTCCTCCTTGCCCTGCTATATCACTATCTTACTGTCTCACTGTTGACTTTGTCTGGCCTTGCGATCTGCTGCTTGTCTTGTTGTATGGACATTTGCTCGTCAAACAGGAAACAATTCATCATGTCTGCTTCTTCACCACCGACGCAGGGCCAGGCCAACTCTTCTCAGACGGAAAACCGCCAGCAATCTGACAACGTCATGCTGGCCGACTACGCCAAGAAGGTGACCGACGTGAATTCTTTGGAGGAGATCGAAGAGAATATGAACCAGCTTCCTCAGCTTGTGAGCGGCATGCTGAGTGACGATCCAAGCGTGCAGTTCGACTGCACGATCAAAGTGCGCAAGATTCTTTCCAAGAAGCCACCGCCGCTCGAGGCGGTCGTCGCCATCGAAAACGGTGCCGTGATTCCCACTTTGGTCGCCTTCCTCGACCGCGCCGAGAACCCCATCTTGCAGTTTGAGGCCTGCTGGGCTCTGACTAACATTGCAGTTGGTGCCAGCGAGTTTGTAGACCGCATAGTTCAGCATGGCGCCATTCCGCGTCTCGTGGCTCTGGTCAGCAACCGGGATGCGAATATCGCCGAGCAAGCTGTCTGGGCGCTTGGCAACATTGCTGCCGATTCCCTACAGCTGCGCGACCTCGTCCTCAATGCCGGAGTCGCGGCTCCCCTCTTCGCCCTCATTCGCCATAGTTGCCAGACAGCGGTGGCGAGCACCGCCGTCTGGGCCCTGTCCAACCTCTGCCGCAAAATGCCTCCGCCACGCCTCGAGCTGCTTCCTGGCGTAGTCGAGCTCTTGCTGATCCTGCTCTACGTTCGGGACGAGCAGACTCTGTCCGACACGTGCTATACGTTGTTCTTCCTGGCCGACTCTGTCAACCAGTTCCTGCGCACTGGCTTCGCCGAACGCGTCGTGCAGCTGCTTCTCTTTCAAAACTCTGCCGTTGTTCTGCCTGCCCTGCGCCTCATTGGCCAGATTTTGGCGGGTGACAACCAGGTCACGCAGCTTGTCCTTGACACCAACGTCCTCGTACATCTCCCTGCTCTCCTGCAGGGCAATCACGAAGACATTCAGGCGTACGCGTGCTTGGCCATCTCCAACATTACTGCCGGCACTACCGAGCAAATTGAGGCTGTTTTCGCTGCCAATCTTGTTCCGCTCATCCTCAACCTTCTACGCAATGGCGCCCCCAAGACGCGCAAGGAAGCCGCATGGGCGCTAGCCAATGCATGCGCTGGCGGCTCCGTCACGCAACTTGACCAGCTCATTGAAGCTGGTGTGTTTTTGCCGTTGTGCGACATGCTCTCGTGCACGAGCGCCAACCTGGTTCGCACGATTCTCATTGCCGTCAACAGGATGCTGTCCGTCCCCGCCGCCGCAGTCTCCCGTGACTTGCTGACTCAGTTGAAGGCGAACAACTACCACATTGCCGTCACAGGATTGACGCGTCATTCCACAGACGGTGTCTCCGAGATGGCCACTCAGCTGGCGCGTCTTCATTTGAAGAACAACACCCGGTCGAATCTCCTGCTCCGCCCCAACCGCAATAGCCTAGTAGCTTGGTGGTTCTACACAACGCGCTTTTTGTCGTCCTGGTGGTCCTGCGCTTTTGGTTTTGATGCTCAGTGTTCAATCTCAGCCAACCCAGTGCAGCATCCCCATCCCAAAGTGCCCAAAGTGCCCAATCTGCACAGTGGCGCACAATTCAGTCCCATTTTTTTTTTTGATTTTTTTTTCCCAAAACAAAGCATGAGCTACAAGTCCGTCTCGGGCGTCGTCATGGACGGCATGGAGAAGCGTCGCGAGCCATCCAAGCACTACGTAACGACCTTCTTCTCTCTTTCTCCGCAAATGCACCAACACATACCCCCCCAACCCTTCCATCCACTAGTCCATCGATCAATCCAAAAGGACCATTGCAAGGCAAAATCACCGTTTTTTTTATTTTTTATTGTATTTTTTATTTTTGATTTTGTGCAACGTATCGCTCTCTCCTCACTCTCGCTCTCCTCACTCTCGCTGCTCCTCGCTGCTCCTCGCTGTTCTTGCGTTGCCTCAGCCCGAGACGCATCATTCAACTTTGAGTGTTTCGCCCAACCGACCACAACCTCGTTGTTCTCGTTATTATTGTATTTTTTATTTTTATTTTTGATCTTTTTTTTTTTTTTTTTTTTTTTCGATTTTGTGGCTTTTCTATGACGCTTTTGCCGCTCCCCCCTCCAATGTCCCTCACGCCATCCCAGTGCGCGCGGAGACCAGCGACAGGCACCACTTGGACCACAGCGCACACTCATCAGCACGCCATCCGCGGTGGTCGGGAATGTTCGCTGTCTGGACGACGACGGAGTGAGTGCAAAAAGTCGTACTTCAACCGCAGCGAGGTCGGCAGAGCACAGCGGGAGGTCCATTGCGTGCTTTGTGTGTGTGTGTGTGTGGGGGGGTATGTCATTTGGTATCGATGAGGCACGCCCGTTGAGATTGGGCGCGATGGAGCGATCAGGCGAAGCAATGCACAATGGTCGCTTTGGTCATTGCACGACGACCATTACACATCCATCCATCGTGATCATCAATCACGATCATCATCCGAATACGAATCGCTCAAAACTACAACAAAGAGCCATAGCCACGATCGACGACAATCTGATTCCGCAGATCGAATCACTTGTAACTTGTCAATCACTCACCAAATCGCGTCCTCCTTCCCCCCCTTCCCCTCTACTTTCCCCGTCCGAAACCCCCACAGATCTATGTCATCAAGGCCAAGTACACGGACGGAACAGAACAAACGCTCTTCCGTCGGTACAACCAGTTTTTCGACTTTCAAACAACACTGCTGGACATGTTCCCCGAGGAAGGCGGGATTACGGGCAACCGCACCATCCCGTTCCTTCCTGGCAAGAAGCTGTTTGGCCGAAGTCACGTTCGAGACGTTGCCATGAAGCGCGTGCAGCCCCTGGCCGCGTACATGGAGGCACTACTACACCTGCCACCAAAGATCTCGGACTGCGAGTTGCTGCGCGCATTCTTCCACCCGCTAGAGTCTGACCTGAACCCGCCATCGGCCGTCGGCGTGAAGCGTGACAACTCGGAAGCGCTCGAAAAGCAGCGCAAGACTGCCAAGGCCATGGTCAATTTCGACGTGTCCAGTCCGATGCAGCTCGAGCAGTTCCGCGCCGTCTCGTCGTACAAGGCCACCAACAAGACTGAAATGACCCTCGAGGAGGACGTCGTGTACGACGTGATCGAGAAGGACGACAACGGCTGGTGGTTTGTTTCCAAGGGTCCAGTACAAGGCTGGGCTCCGGCGACCTTCCTCGAGCCCGTGCAAATTGCTGCCGCCATCCCAGCAGTTTCGGAGCCCGCACCCAAGCTTGCGCCGTTGCCCGCACCAATCCAAGCGGTCACACGCAAGCAAGAAACTGCCATCGACATTGTCAAGAAGGTGGTCCCGATCGAAAAGGCCAAAGCCGCCATCAACCAGTACGCCAACACGAGCAACGGCAGCAGCAGCAGCAGCAGCAGTAGCGGCGGCGGCAAGCAGTACGCCGATCCCGCCGAAAAAGTGTACGACAGCGGCAAAGACTGGTATGTCGCCACGGAGGACTTTGCTGGCGAGAACGACGAGGAGATTTCCTTCTCCAAGGGCGACGTGGTCGAGGTGTTGGATAAGGATCCGAACGGCTGGTGGTTTGTTGCGCTCGAGGGCGAGGAGGGCTGGGCTCCTTCTACCTACCTCAAGCCCAAGTCCAAGTCCGCTAGCGGCGCAAAGGGCGCCTCCAAGTCGGGCACAAGCACACCACAATACTCGAATCTGCCAAACACAACAGCCACACCTGTCGTTAAAGTTCCCGCCTCCGCCAAAGGCACCACCGACACATACTCCAATCCCATTGCGAACGGCACCAACTCCAATGTTGTCGGCATCTCCTCTGCGGCGGCCGCAGCAGCAGCCAAACTGACCCCGGCCGGTGCCGCCACCCCGAAGCCAGCAGCTGCTGCCGCCGCACCGAAGCCAGCAGTTGCCGCCGCACCGAAGCCAGCAGCAGCTGCCGCACCGAAGCCTGCTGTCGTTCCCAAGCCAGCAGTCGCCGCTGCACCCAAGCCTGCTGCAGCAGCAGCACCCCCCAAACCTGCCGGAGCTGTTGCGCCCAAACCTGCCGGAGCTGTTGCTCCAAAGCCCGCGGGTGCGATTGCACCCAAGCCCGCAGCCGCTGCCAGTTCTGGTTATGCCACGCCTGGCGCTGCAGCTGGCGGCCTGAGACCGACCGCAGCACCAAAGCCATCAGTGGCTGTCCGACCGGGTGGTGTTGCTGGCCTTCGACCAACCGGAGCACCCAAATAGCGATGCGGCTACTTGTGGTCTCGTCCGCCCGCCCACCCCCTGAATTCCACAAACATGTTCAACATGTTGCCTTGTTTTGTCGTGGTTCCAGCTGGATAGGAATTTTTTTTTACCCAATCGAGTGTAACCAGAGTGCTGTTGCTGGGCGACACTACTCATTACATTTGAATTCTCCGTTCCATTGTATTGTACTCATGTTGGTTTTGTCTCGTTCTATTGTTTTTTCCCTTTCCTTTCCCCGTTGTGTGGTTGCTAGTGTACACATTCATTACTTTTTTTTGCACAACACTTCTATTATTATTCTTAATCGAGCTCCAAGTCCTGAGGGCTCTGCGGTCGCTGACGAGGAGTGAGCGACGGACCATAATGGCGAATGATTGCTAGAGCCGGCGAGTCGGGTGGGTTTGAGCGATTCGATGGCAAGGAACGAGGATCAGCTTCGGAGACTTGGAGTGCGTGCTCGGCTGCAGGAGCGACTGCTACCACATCCGACTCAAGCACCGAGGCTGTCTCGTTGTGTGACGTAGCATCATTGTCATTCCGCGGCGCTGCGTTCGATTCTGGGAGTTCATTAGTAGTGCCGCTATTCGCGCTGACGGCTCCATTGTCGATAGAAGGTGCTTCAACTGCAACATCCGCAACCACTGCAGCATGAACAAGAATGGCAGGGTCTCGGACAAGCACTTCCAATGGGTTGACGTGAGCCTGTGGCTGATTCCGACGCTCCATTTCAACCCGTGCGCGTTGACGGCGTTCTGCATCCTCCAGATTGGTCGGTGCCGACCCGTCAAACAATTGGGAGAAAAACCGGGACAGCGGACGCAACGTGATAAAGTAGAACGTTGGCATGGCCGGGATGACTTGAATAACAGACGCGCCTCGAGGAGCCAGGATGCCCCGGACACGAGTGCTCGTGCGTGCCAATTGCGCAAGCAAGTACCCGCCAAAGAGATACAGCACAAAGCCCAGTAAGAGCACGTTGAAGGATGCGAGCAAGTTGTGGAAGAACATGTTGCTGATCAACGACCGCGGCGAACCCAGCCCACCCAACATGCAGGTGGTCGTCGAAACGGCGAGGGTGGACACAAGCAATCCGCTGTCCCTAGTTTCGGCGACGGTGACCGAGATGACTTGCGCAGGAAGCTGTTTGCGTTGTGACTGGCTGGAATGGAGCAAGAGTTGAACGTAGGTGGCAAGATCTGCAAGCGAGACGTCGCTGACGGCCACTGCGCAAGCAGTCTGCCTTCCCATTGTCGCGAGAGAGACTGGCATTTCGGCCAGCCTTTGCAAATCGCCGCCAGACGACGCAAGATACGCCTGGCAAGTGTCCAGCTTGTTCGTTGGCTGTTTCTTGTCATTCCATGCAACGAACGACAGGTTTGCGGACACGTCGCAGCCTTGACACAGCAATGAGAATTGTTCCAGCGCATCCGCATCACGCGAAAGGGATCGGGTCAAAACGTCAACCAGAATTTCATCTGGAGACATTGCTCTACCACGCGAGGCGGCATTCGCTGAGTACTCTGGCAGATCGGGCACAACAAGGGTCCAGGCGGGCAATGAAGCTAGCAGCGTGGATAGAGGTGCATGGATCTGGACTGCAATTTCGACCTTGTGACCAAACTCAACGGACGTCACGAATGGGGCCGAATCGACAGGGAGGAATGCTGTGAGCGGCGAAACTTCCAGGCGATAGGCGGCCGAGAAGGCGACAAACGTTGCAGTGTGCACCAGCCTTGCGCCGGCTGACCATGCGAGCGACGACATGACATATCGCGACAATAGCGGCGCGGACTCTGGCTGAACTAACACGGGTAGTCGCCTGGAGCTGTGTGGCCTGCTGTTTGCCAAAGCTTGTTCGTCGCTCTCGCTTCCTTGGTTTCGGCGGGAGTCGGCAACAGGAGATGGCCAAGCCACCTCTGTGCGGCAAAACTTGAAACTCGGCAAAGCGTGACAAATCAAGCGGCGCAATGAAGGCTTGCCAGTCTCAACGGCTGCCTCATGGCGCTCAGCCTCACGGGCGAGCACATCGCTGAAAGTAACGTTTGTTTCGTGGTTGATTTCTGCGAGCCGGTAGAACGAGTTTTCCACAGAGGTTCGCTCAAATCGAGGAAACTGGCGTCTGAGCGCGGGGGTCGACAAAGCTCCAACGAGTGTTGCCTCCGAGCGCTTCATCATGCAGTTGAAGCAAACGCCAGACGGCTCAACGTGCACGCGATCGGGTGATGAAGGTGTCAGGACGGGAACGGCGGCTGCGACGCGTTCGTTCAACTGCCAATACTGTAGCTGCGCTGTTCCAGATGCCAAATCGTCCGAACTCGCTTTCCTGCCAAGAAGGAAGCAAGGAAGCAGTCACCAACACCGAACAAACAACATCAGTCAAAGACAAGGAAAAAAAAAGAAAGAAAAAAAGGTCAGCTGTGTGTGCAGCTGTGTGTGCGGGTCTCTTACCACTGGAACTGCTGCAGTCCAGCTGCATTCGAGCGGTTGTTGGGGAATGGCGGAACACGCAGCACAATATCAATATCGAGCGCGTCATCTGCGTTGCGGAAAATGCCTGGCTCTGGCTCAAAGCGACCCGATTGAAACGCTCGTCTGCCCCAGACAAGACAAAGTTGAGGTGAATAAACTCCACAACAATTCCACCCATCAACGTCAGGATAGGATTGACTACTTGCCTCCGGACATGCTGCATGAGCATGACTCCGTGGGGTGCGGTTGGAAAGTAAAATCGGAGACGCGGTTCGCGCCGAGTTGCATCTGCAATGGGGTTGCAAAGCTGGACCGATCCGCGTGCAGCTCGAACGGGAGAAGCTTCCTCGGTATCCTCGCTATTGCTTGACGGTCCTTCTTCTGAGCTTGCTGCTGCCGGTGGTGGTGGCGGTGGCGGTAGATGACTCGTTGACGCAGAGTTCGAGGTGGAAGCAGATTCAGCATCTGCAGAGAAGCCAGCTGGCGTCTTCAGGCTGGCAACTCGACCAGGCATATCGTCATCATTGATGCTCGTGCCAGCAGGAACAGTCTTGGCTGCGACAGATCGGTCTGGCGGCGCAAGTCCCAATTCTCGCTGCAGCAGCTGAGCACCCCGCGCGTGCGCACTGGTACTACTCGGCGGAGGTCCGCTATCATGAGCCCTGCAATGCACGCCTTCATCGTTGATGATGCACGCTGCACGCCTCAGCACGTCATTGGCAGGCGGCGTGACGAGCAGCATGGCCGCAACCAGCACCGACGCTGCGACTCGTGCACCAATCCACATTAGACGACTAAGCTCAACGGGCAAGAGGCCAAGACAATACGGAAGGCGATGAGTGCCTCAATGTAACAATGCGATGAAAATTGTTACCGTACCTTTTCCTCCAATCTCAGAGCAAAAGAAGGAAGGAAGGAAGGAAACCGAAGTGGCCTCAATGGCGGGACGGTGCGATCAATCTTGTCACCATCCTCCAATGAATCATCCAACAATCCAACCTTACAACTGACCTTCCAACAACAACAATGTTGAAAAAGAGTTCTTCATTCAAAATCCATACAAACTCATAAAATAAAAAAAAAAAAACCAAAAATTCAATCTTATTTTTTTTTGCAATGGTTTTCGCTGCAGGATCATTGACGCGCTTGTCGCAGATCGTGCTGCGCGCGCCCGTTTCCGCCGCTGCTCCTGTAACGCCATCGCTCTTTGCTGTGCTCTCGTTCGCCCCCCCCCCCTGCCCTCCCCCTCCCATTGATCGACTTGGGTGAGGGTTGTTGCTTTGCTCACAACGAGATTTTTTTTTTTTTTTTTTCCAGACCGTTCGTCGTTTCGCCTCGTTCGTTCCTGTTGCCGCTTCCGCTGACTCTGGTACGCATGCTACACTCTGCCACCCTACATCCAGCTTGCTCCTCTCTCTCTCTCTCTCTCGTCTCCTGCGTTTGTTGCTTTGAACGAAACTCAAACAAAAAGTCACCAAAACAAGGACGAAGATTTTTTTTTTTTTTTTTTTTTTTGGTTTTCCTTTCTCTTCTTCTTCTTCCACTTCCGAATGTGGGGGAGGGGGGATGAGCACAGCCAAACCAACGCTGTCTCTCCTGCCATCTGTCCTTTATGGTCACTTTGTCTGCGTCGTCGTCTCGTTCTTCAGTCGATCCAAAAAAGATCTGCGAATGAACGAACTGTTTTTTTTTGTCTTTTCTTTCTTTTTTACAAAATTTGCCTTTTTTTTTTTTTTTTTTTTTTTGATTTTCGTTCAATTCTTTGCCAATTTCACGTCAATCATTTTTGCTCGTGTCTTGCTTGAAATGCTAACGTTGGACTTTGCAAACAAAAACTTCCATCTCTCCTTTTTTTTTTTTTTGCTCGCAGCGAACAAGGTCTCGGTCGTCAACGGCATCCCAATGCTACGACTTGCGATCGGCGCCCACCCCGTCACGGCTTTCACGCTTGTGCCCGGCACTACGATCGGCTCGCTCGCCAAAAATATCGCTGATGAGCTTGGCGCAAAAGATCCGATACAGGTTGCGCTTGCGGACGGAACTCCGTTCTCCAGCTCGTCGGATGTCCGCATTCTCACAAAGACCCCGTTCAAGGTGGTTTCTGGCCAACGCCAGGCTGATATCAGCGTTTCGGAGGCAACAACAGCTGGTACGCGACCTGGTACTCTTTTTTTGTTTTCATATCCCATCTGGCACCCCCCCCCAATGTTTTTTGGTCGCTGATTTGTATTCGTATTTTGTGTGTTTTGATTTTTGCTTTTGGTTTTTGTGCACAGCTGCCCTCCATTCAGACAAGCTCAACCCCGAACTCGCGTCTGCAATCAAGCGCATGCAACACGTGCTTGATGTTGACAAGGAGATTGAGGACAAAAAGTGAGTTTCTTTTTTGTCGAAAGTCGTGTCTTCCTCAGCCAAACACCGCGTTCTTCTCACTTTCTTGCCCTTGCGCATTTGCAGGATTGAACTCGCGACGACGATCGGAAACATCTCTTCCGAGCTTGCGCCGCTGCAAAAGGTCAAGGACGAGCTCGATGTGAAGGCTGCCGCTCACACCAACCGCTTGGCATGGTTTGGTCTTGCCGCCATGTCGTTCCAGTTTGGCGTGCTCGCCCAGTTGACGTGGTTTGAGTATTCCTGGGATATTGTCGAACCCATCACCTACTTTGTGACATACTCGGCTGTCATTGGCGCGTACGCGTACTACGTGCTGACCAAGTCGAATTACGAGTTCACTGGCGTCCAGGAGCGCAAGTGGCTCCAGTTCTTGCATTCCCAGGGACCAAAGCGAGGCCTTGATATTCAGCGCTACAATCACCTGCGAGACTCACTCGCTGCCGCCGAGGCCAAGCTCGCTCAGCTGAAGACTATTCATTCCGATTAATTGCGGTTTTTTACGCTCGTTTCCGTCCCCCCCCCTTCATCCCCTGTTTGATTTGTGTGATTTAACTTTTTGCCACATCATTTTTCACCTGCTCGCTTGAAAAATCAGCGCCCTGTTTTTCCAAGTAAACTAGGAAATTTTGGTGGTACTCTTTCCTCCATCATTGCAACAAGTGACGAGTTATTGTGTCACAAGAAGCAACATCTTCCACCATGCCAAGTACTAGAGCACGATGAGACAGGAAGGGTGCGAGATAAGCCAGGCGGAAGGCAGCGAGGTATGGCATTCCTGACTGACTCCGAACTCAAAGTTAGCGAAAATCAACATTGCATGAGCTCGAGGTTTGAAAAAAAAAAAAAAAGACGAAATGGATGGCGCTTTTGCATTTGAATGGAACCAAAAAAATTCACATGCCACAGCGACTTTTAAGCAATGACCTTCAGCGAGCGACCAACTTCGATGAAAGCATCCACAGCGCGGTCAAGCTGCTCGCGGGTGTGGGAAGCCGAGATTTGAACGCGAATACGAGCTTTGCCTGGATGTCACGAACAACAACACATCAATCGTCAGAGGTTTTGTGCAAAAGCTTTCAAAAGAACGACGCGTGAGATTGTGCACACTCACCCTTGGGGACGACGGGGAAGCTGAAGCCAATAACGTAAATGCCCTTCTTGAGCATGGCGTCAGCAAATTCAGAGGCGAGCCGAGCATCGCCAAGCCAAACGGGGCAGATGGGATGGTGCTTATCACCCTACAGCGCGCAGCCAGCAAAAAGGACATGAGAAGGGTTCCAAAAGGTGGTGTGAGTGCATCACGAATACTTAACACAGAGAAAGAGGAGAAAAAAAATTGCCAATGTCTAGCGTACAAGAATCGTGAAGCCAGCCTTCGTCATGCGCTCGCGGAAGTGAGTCGTGTTTGAGGCGACAGTCTGGCAGAGCGACGTATCGCGCTGGAGAATGTCAAACGCCTTGCTCGAGGCACCAACGACAGCGGGGGCGAGCGTGTTCGAGAAAAGGTACGGGCGCGCGCGCTGACGAAGCAGGTCAATCACAGCCTGCGGACCGGTGGTGTAGCCGCCAGAAGCGCCACCCATGGCCTTGCCGAGGGTCGAGTTGATGATGTCGACACGGCCGACGACATTCAAGAACTCTTCCGTACCGCTGTATGACCAAACACAAAAAAAAATAAATATTAAAAAGTTTGAAACAAAAAAAAAAAAAACAAAAAAAAGAGGATTGAGCGGACAGCAAACGAGACCAGCCACGCCCTCAAAGCCCGTTTGTACTCACCGGCCCGTCTTGCCAAAGAAGCCTGTAGCATGGCACTCGTCGATGAACACCAGCGCGTTGTACTTTTCAGCAAGATCACAAATCTCCTTGAGCGGAGCGACGTTGCCATCCATGCTGAAGACACCGTCAGTGACAATCATGCGCATGCGCGCGTTCTTGCTGGCCTCGAGTTGAGCAGTCAAGTCTGTGGACGGGCGTGATGTGGGTGTGCGTTTTTTTTTTTTGTTTTTTTTTTTTTTTTTTTGGATTCCAAGGCAGGAAGTCAGTTCATGTTACCCACTTTGTCTCTCGCACGTTAAGCTGTAAATCACACTCACCTGCAATGTCGCGATGCTTGTACTTGTACTTTTGCGCCTTGCAGAGACGGATGCCGTCAATGATGGAGGCATGGTTGAGTTCGTCGCTGATGACGGCGTCCTCGGCTGTGAGCAGCGTTTCGAAAATGCCTGCGTTGGCATCAAAGCAGCTGGGGAACAGAATGGCATCTTCACGACCGTGGAAGGCGGCGATCTTCTTTTCGAGATCCTTGTGAATGTCCTGCAGAAAAGAGTCAAGTGTATATGTTCGGTCAGTTTCGGACTGGACGCTCACCTCCAAACGGTTTGCATCATCACCAAAGAAGCTTTTGAGAAGCGTTGCTCGTGTTCGACGAGCAGTGGTCATTGCTTCAAGTGCGTCGTCGTCGTTACCTGCGTGCCGCAAATGAAGCGGACCGAGCTGAGGCCAGCGCCGTGAGTGACGAGCGCCTCCTTGGCAGCATCGACGACCTGACAAATCATCCATTCAAACAATCAAAGCAGTCACAAGCAAACCGAGAGTGAGCTTTTGGTTTTTTTGCTTTGGGAACGAAGCCAAGCGATCACGAATGGAACAAGGAAGTGCAGCTTGGCAAAGGCCTTGAACTCGCTCGTATGCGTCTGCCTGTGCAAATTGCATATGATGATGATGATGATGATGATGATGAAGATGAGCGTCTGCGTCGTTACCTCGGGGTGGTTTGCAAGGCCAAGGTAGTTGTTTGCGCAAAAGTTGAGGACGGGCTGCGAGCCGGACGAAGCGACCGTGATGAGGGCGGACTGCGGCGAGGTGATCACTCGCTCGGCCTTGAAGGTGCCAGCGGCGCGGATCTCGGCCAGCTGTGCGTTGGCAATGTCGGTGAGCTTGTTGCGCGCGGCGGAGGTCGAGTACGCACTCGCAGGCGCAGAAGCAAGCAGGCGACCGAGCACTGTGTGAATCCCATAAAGCAGCATGGCACAGCACAGCATTGAGCACGTATGTAGGTTGTTGGATCAACATTCAATCATGAGCAAACAAAGAAGAGATGGAGCAAAAGGATGGAGCAAAGGGTAGAGCGAGAGGGGATAAGGGGGATAAGGGATCATATAAGGGATCCTATGAAGCGACGTACTGGTCAAACGAGAGGAAGCAGAGGATGCCATTTGTTGGGAGAGAAAAAAACAAGGAGTGCAAGAATATTAATAAGGCTACAACAATTCAAAAAGCAAGACCTCTACTCTATTTCATGGGGGTGTGCTGTAGGAGCTAATAGTGATTTATTGCGCGACATTGCGCCACACTTTTTGCAACGTGGGTCGAATGCCTCACAAAACTCACAAAAGTGAGCTGAGCTGCACGGAGCGAGCTTTTGGAGGAAAACCATTGGAAGAATTTAACTACTGGACGAACGCGGTTGCGATACTTGAGCGGCAGATTGTGGTTGTCGTTGCTGAGGTACGGATTGCGACTGCTGCTGCTGCTGCTGCCGCTGAGCTTGCTGCTGAGATTGTTGCTGACTTTGCTGGTGGGCACTACGAATACGCGCCACGTCGGCCACGGCAGTATTCAGTCGGTCGAGGTCGTCTTGTTTCAGCCACTTTGCCGCATGCGCCACATCAGCTCCTGCCAGGATGAGAACGCGCGCAACAGAGCTGTGCTGTCGAACGATGGCGTAGAAAAGAGCCGCGTGGTCGGAGGTCGTGGTGATGAGATTCACGTCCGCCTTCGCCTTGATGAGATCCACCACGATTCTCTCTTGCCCCCGTTGACTGGCAGCCATGAGTGCCGTCCACCCGCCATGCGATCGCGCGTTGATATCGGCACCACCGGCAAGCAGCGCGCGCACGGCAAACAGCTGGCCTTCCGCCGCGGCACGCATCAGAGGCGTGTTTCCGGAAGAGTCCTTCACATCGGGCCGCACGCCGTGCTTCAGTAGGTTTGATATGACGGCATCGTGTCCAAAAGCGGCTGCTTGAAAGATGCACGCTGTGCCATCGGGCGATACGTAATTCGGATTGGCGCCCGCCTGCAGCAGCGCCGCCACGGCATCAGCGTGGCCTTCTTTGCACGCCGTGAGCAGCGCCGTCCATCCGCGGTTGTTGGGCTGGTCCACTCGGGCCCCGCGACTGGCCAGCACGGGAATGAGATGTGCATGACCATTCCGTGCAGCACCAAACAAGGCATTGACACCAGTGCGGGTCGTCAGGTGCACGTCGGCGCCGGCGTCCAGCAAGATTTGGACAATGCCAGTATATCCGTTCGACGCCGCGCTAATCAGCGCAGTGAATCCGTCCTTGTTCTGGGCGTTGAGCATTGTGTCGCGCACTTGTCGCATGCGCAGTAACCGCTGCACGTTGAGCTCGTCGTTCTTGGTCGCAGCCATGTAGAGCGGCGTCAGCGGCGCAAGCTCAGTCGTCACCGCAGCGCCACGCAACGAGCGGCCCGGCCCAGCAGTCGTATCGCGCGAAGCGGTGCTTGCACTCGTGAATGACCGGCTCGCTTGGGAGTGGACTTGGGATTGGACTCGGGCGGGAGCATGAGGCGAGGTCGGAAACCACTGCTGAACGGTGCACAGAGCGCGGCCACTCGCAAGTCCGCCACCAACACGAGCTGACAGAGCATGCAAGGAGGATGAGGAGGGGCGACTCCGAGGACTGGCGGGTGGTGGGTGGTCGGCGGCGACGAGGCTGGCAAGGCGGCGCTGTTGTGCTCCAGTGCACGCTCCAGCAGCAAGAGCAGCAGCAGCAGCAGGAGGAGGAGACTGCTCCAGCCGCAGGTGGAGAGCAGCAGCAGTGCGCTCAAGCCGAGGCAGCGATCGCGATCGCACTGCGAGTGAGGCGAGCATTATAAGAAAAAAAAAAAGCAAGACTGCTCAGACAGCTCAGACAAGACCCCAAAAAGCAACGAAATAAACAAATAAGTACAGTGGATGGCTGCTGGGTCTAGACACAAAAAATCGAGTGAGAGAGACAATTGGCTTTGACTGCAACTGAATTACAGTGTATTGGAACCAATAAGTAATAGCGTGGAAAAAGCGAGAAGAGAGACGGCGGTCGATGAAGGAGCAACACGCGACCAGACTCAGTGGCCTGCAAACTCATCAACAGCAAAGACAGGAGTGCCGTCTGGCTGAACGGCAGCCGCGCCGGCGGCTTTGCGCTCGCGTTCATCAATCGCACGGAGCAGGCCGCGGCGAACAACGCTGTCGGATGCAGTGTCAAAGACTGTACGCCCTTGATTGTTGGTAAGTGTAGGACTGGCGCCTGCAGCAATCAATTGCGCGCAAACTGAGGTGTGAGCATTGCTCGCCGCGTGCATGAGAGGTGTCCAACCCTCGGCGTCCGCAAGGTCCATGTCGGCGCCAGCTTGAATCAGCCGCTCGACGACCGCTTCATGGCCTTCGCTGGATGCAACACAGAGCATCGACATGCCCGATGCTTGGCTTGTCGTGTTGGGATCCGCGCCAGCGCTCATGAGCTCGGCAGCAATGTCGGCAAACTTGTTAATCACGGCGCTCAACAGGGGTGTGGTGCTCTCCGAGTCATCCATGCCCGTGTTGAGAATGCGCACGAGCTCTTGTTCGTTCGACAGTCCTGCAGCCAAAAGAAGGCGAATCGCTTCGAGATGCCCGGCTTCGGCTGCGTAGGTGAAGGCGCTGCCGCCCGTCGCATCATACGCGTTCCACTTTGCGCCTGCTTCGAGGAGCGAGCGAGTAATGGCCGCGTCGCCGATGCTGGCAGCAGCCATCAGGGGTGTCCACCCGTCCTTGTTACGCTCATTAATATTGGCTGCCGAGGCGACCAGCAAATCCACCACAGCAGCATGCCCGTTCGCCACCGCATGGAGCAGGGGTGACCAGCCGTCCTTGTCCCGCAGCGACGTGGACGCACCCGATTCCAGCAGCGCCCTTACGATTGCTGCATGGCCGCGACTCGCCGCGCTCGTCAAGGGAACCCACCCATCCTTGTTGCTGATGCCCGAGCGCGCATTCGCGCGTAATAGCAGGCGAACGATAGAGTGCATGCCACCGTCAGCGGCATAGTTTAGAGCGGTCGCACCAGATGCGTCGCGGACATTCGGCTTGGCGTTGGCTTTCAACAGCAGCCGCACAATCTGTTCGTTGTTGAGGTTGACGGCACGGATGAGCGGCGTCCAGCCGTCTGGGCCGTCTGCCAAATTCACACACTCGGGGTGCTCGGCAATACACTGCTCGACGAGTGGAAGGTGGCTCGCAATGATGGCTGCTGGGAGCCGGGTGGAATTGCCGTCAAGAGCGGGGGAAGCTGGCGATGCGGTTGCGGTGACAGTTGGCACAAGCGGCGGCGTAGAAGTAGCCGGAGCCACATGCGAAAGCGGAGAGGAGGAGGAGGAAGAGACAGAAACAGCAACAGCAGCAGCATCAGCAGCAACAGAGGGCGAAGGATCAACCGGAGTCGACGGGGCACGCAAATCGATTGTGGAGGCTTGATGTTCGCCAGAAGGCTGGACGAGTGTCGAGCGCAGATTGGCAAAGATAAGGCGACATCGCTCATCCAACGCCAGTGCTTCAGCCGTTTGACCTGACGTTGCTGTTGTCAACGAGGTATTGGCCAAACCAGACTCCAACAAGAGTTTGACAACTGCCGAGTGTCCCCGGGATGAGGCGTGCATGAGCGCAGTCCAGCCGGCCTGGTCTTGAGCATCGACATTCGCATTCGCATTGAGAAGGGCTTGTACTAGCCACACTCGACCACGAGCGGCAGCGTCCATCAGAACAGTTTGACCATCGCTGGTGGCAGCATTGGGATTGGCGTTGGCCGCCAGCAGTGCCAAGACTACATCCACCTGATCTACGCTGACAGCATACGTGAGAGGGGTGGCGCGTGTCTGCTTGTTGGTGGCCTCAGTGTTGGCGCGAGCCGAGAGTAGCGCGCAAACAACCTTCCAAGAGCCTTTGGATGCTGCATAGCTCAATGCCGTGTCGCCATGCGCAGTTGGAGTATCTGGATTGGCCTGTGCAGCGAGCAACACATTAACGATGGCCGGATCACCCGACGCTGCAGCATGGACGATCGGTGGTGCGAGGCTGCTTGGGTCGAGGGTATTCACAAAATCGACCGGGCGGGGCGCGCCTGAAGCAAGAGTTCGCGCTTGCCGTAGTCGACTCAAGGTTGCAGCAATAGCCAGCTCTGAACTCGCGGCAGCGAGTGGCGGAATCTGGCGTGGATTGGACGACGAGGAGGACGACGCGGAGGATGGATTCAAGGTCAACGCGGATGCTGCGTGCCCGCTCGCCTGCGCTAATATTGGCGAAAGTTTGCTCTCCGTCGTGGATTCTTGAACTTGCTTCTTGGATTCTTGTTGTGCTTGTTGTGCTTGTTGTGCTTGCTGTGCTTGTTGAGGTTTTGAGCTGGCCTTGTCCGACTTGCTTCCCTTCGCGCTTGGTCCCAGCTGCAATGGCTTTGCTGCAACACTTGTTTGCGCTCCGGATCCAGATGACTGTGATGATGATGGCAATCCCCTTGGTGGTGATGGTGGGTTGGTGTTCGACACGCGGTTGGCTGGCTTTGCATTTGCATTGAGGCGGTCGTCCGTCCATGTTCGCACTCGCTTCAGCATGGATGACCCAGCGCCAGCACCGGCCCCAGACCCAGATCCAGGCTCAGATCCAGATCCAGCTCCAGCTCGAGAGTCAGATGCTGCAGCTGCAATGGTGGTCGCTGCAGATACGTCTCGCGCGGGAGTCTTGCGGTCGAGGTTTGGCTTGAGCCGTGTTCCAGGCCGCCGTGCATCAGCAGCAGCAGCACCAGTAGTAGTAATCTTAGTAGCAGTCTTAGTCGTAGGAATGGCTGACGCGTGAGCGAGGCGGACGAGCGGCCGTCGCAGATTCGCTGCTGCCATGCTCAGCATCGTGTTTGGCGATGAGAGTGAATTGGAATAGACTGGTCAAAGGCAAGGAAAGATCGAAGGAATGGTGCACATTGATCTATTCATATGGAAAATGCAGTACAAAGCGCTCGATGGGCTGGGTGGAATTACAAGGGGACTTGGCAACCTACAGTATTCCGCAACGTTGGCGCATTGGCAGGGGAGCTGCGTTGCTGCAGCTAGTTTGCAGCGAAAGAGAGAGAAACACCTCTAATATACTAACGTAAAATTTACAATTTGATGCAACAAAAGCATGCGAGAAAACACGGCTCAAAGGGGCAGTCGCAGCTGCTGGCCATTGCTTGATCTACATCACCTCGAGGCTGGGAACGCGGCCTTTGGGGCCCATGCCACTGCCGGGCGAACCAACCTGGGAATTACTGGAGCCATTTTTAGGGTAAGAAGTGCTGGGAGCTGAGACAATGCGAAGCTGGCCTAGCACCTCGGGAGGAAAGTATGCGAGCTGGGCAATGTTCCCTTCACTGAGCGCCGCCATGGCAGCGGCAAGCATGGGGGTCATGAGCTTGTACGGCAAGCCTTCATCATCCACGTCGGGGGTGCGTTGAAGCGTTGCCGCTCCGGCAGTTGGCTGTGAAGGCGAGCCAGGAAAGCTGATAAAGTCGTTCATCATGTAATGCGCCGACGAGGGCGTGACGGGCGAGCTGACTCCCGATAGAGTGCTGAAACTCGAGGAGGTTGCGACGCTCGACAGGGTGCTGAAGCTCGAAGAGGTTGCAACACTGGATCCCGACGAAGCACCGGCAGCCGCAGCTGCTGCAGCAGCAGTAATGGAAGCAGTTGGGTGGTGTGGCGGTGTGTGTGGCGGACGTGGCAGCCCATGAATGCTGGACGGTCGGGGTCGCAACGCTTGGACACGATTTCGCGATTGCTGGGTTGCAGAATCACGGTTGAGATTGCCTGTCGAGTCAGGTGCAACAAACGAGTGTCTTGTAAGAGAGGTGCTGCTTGATCCAGCGCTGGTAGTCGAGCTCGTGGTACTGGAATCTCGAGACACCTCGAACAGCGGCGGATGCTGCTGCTGCTGTCGCCTGCTGCTGTTGGTTGTCGTTTCGTCCTGACGATGTATCCGTCGTTCGCGCGCAGGTTGGCTTGTAGCGTACGGACTTGCGTCTGGCAATTGACGCCGAGCCTCGTACGCTTGGAGCATCGAGTACAGCTCATCCACCGTCGAGTACTCGAACAGTTCGGCCTCCACCAAGCTCGCTGGCCTGCTATTCTGCGAGCTTGCTTGTCCTGTTGATTCGAGCACTGTTTCTTGGCCATCCACCGTGACAACCATTGACCTTGGTCGCCTGATGTGGGACGGAGGGGCATATGCAGACGCCGAGTGGCGATTCATGGTCGAGAACAACGGCGCGGAGCTGGTTTTTAGCGGCGAAGCAGTTTGCTGCAAGGTCGAATCGACAGACGTGCTTGATTTTGGTGGTGGAAACTGCCTCTGCTGAGATGGCTGAGATTGGTGGGAATGCTGAGGCTGCTGTTGTGAAGATACCGGTGGCTGTTCAGACACGTGTGCATGAACTGGGCGAAACAGCGGCGAAGCGGCCAGATTCGACACCGACGACGACGACGATGATTGCCTTTTCGGCTGTTGCTGCGGCTGGTTGGACGCAGCGCTTTTGGATGGACTTGACTGCTGTGTAGAAGCAGACACGACAGGAGAGAATGCCGTTGGATGCACGAGCCGGTTGGGCGGGGTGCCTCGGAGCTGAGCGAATGCTTGTTGCTGCTCAAATTGGCGTGCTTGCTTCCCAACCAGCAGCGAATACCTGCGCTGTCCGTTCGGAGTTGGAACCAGCACCGCCGTAGACGATGCAGACGACGGCAGCAATGGCACTGACGACCCCGACGCCTCAACCGCAGGCGACGAGGACTGCTCTGTAATCAGCTCGAGCGGCTGGGACTGGCGGTGTTGTGGAGCAAATTCCAAACTGAGATTGGCGGAATTTCGCTGCAGCGGGCCTCGCGCACTTCCAACGCGCTGCAATTGCCGGTGAGAGGACCCGCTTTGGCTCTGCTCGGCAGTGAACTTGCGGAGGTTGCTGCTCTTGCTGCTCGAAGGAGGCTCGTCGGCAGGCGCAGAGGAGGTCTGAGTGTGGTGCTGCTGCGAGGAGTGGTGACGGGACGAGACCGCAGGAAAAGTCGAATTTGGAAGCGAGTGGTTTGCACTCTTGCTCGAATTCGGTGGGTTCGACAGCTGCGGCTGACGGCCACTGCTACTACTGGTACTGGCACTGGTACTGGCACTGGTACTGGTACTGGAGGAGGCAGGTGCAGTGGTCGCTGTACGGCTGCTGCTGGCTGCTGGTGGAAGAGGAGGAGCGAGATTGAAAGAATGGGTTGAAACGCGCGATGACTCGACACCCGAATGATTCACGTCCGTCGACGACGACACCGCAGTGGTGGTGGTGGTAGTTGGCAACGGTGCGGATGGAAGCGAGGATGGATTCTTCGAGCTTGTAATGGAGGTAGTATTGAAATTGTTGGTGGTGGGATCCAACACTAGAAGTGACTGGCGAGTGAGCGGATGGAGTGGTTCCAGTTCTGGTAATTCCAACGCCCAGTCGCAGCCCGATTTGGGCGACATGGCGGTCAATCCGGACGACGGCGACGATGCAGGCACCGGTGACGAAGGCATTGAAGCAGCGCGTGGGTTTTTGATTGAGGAAGAAGAAGATGAAAAAGAATAAGAATAAGAATTAACAAAAAAAAAAGAAAAAAAAAAAAAGGTTCGGTCTTGTCAACAGAGAAATCGGAATTGGCTTTTCTGAGGTGGCGAGCAAAAGGTAGAAACAGTCAGGGCTGAAACCAGTGATACATACAGTACAAAGGTGCGTGTGTACGAGATGGAAGAGGGGGTTTGAGAGGCAAGCAACGACGCGACGAAAGGAAAATCGGAGGAAGAGGAAATGAACGCAAAGAACCATCAACGACGACGGAACCAACCGAAAAGCGAGCCCCCGCAAAAGCAAAAAAGAATAATCACAAAGGTAGATGAGTTTGACAAGTTATCACTGTGTAGGTTTTGAAGTACCTGGTTTCGATTGCTTTTTGTGAATCGGCAACAAGAAGAGTGAGTTTGGGAAAATGGCTTACCTGTTTTCGTTTTGTTTTTTCTGAAGATCGGGGCAGCACGCCACTCTTGCTAAGAAATCAAAGAAACAAAAAACAAAGATTAGAGCGTGGAAGGGAAAAGGTAAACACACGAAACGCCTACCAGTAACACGGCTTGAGTGGGAAAATTAAAATTTAAACCAAGAACCAAAAGTTGGATTCAAGCAGCGTTCTTCTTTGCAGACTTCCTTCTTGTTGTTGTTATTGTTATTGTTATTGTTGTCTGAGCCAAATCAGATCATGTGCTCGACTTGACAGGATTTGTTGCCTATCCACAGCTTGCGAGCTATCCTTGCGCTCGAGTGTTCCGATCTTGAGCGAGCGAAATCCCGCCATCTGTTCAGCCGTGTGGTCTTTACAGGGAGTACGAGCATTCAGCGTCACTCAAGTACTTCAGCCACAAGACGCGTAAGTTGAGGAGGGAGTTTTGTGCTTTCAAACGGGGGAGGGAGGGAAGGAAAGGGAAGTGGCGGACGGTGATGAGCGAGCATGGAATAAAACTTCACATGGATTGTATTGCCACACACACACACCACACACACACACACAAAAACCCAAACAAAATACAACAGTCAAGTGCCAGAGACAACTCGCCACCTGGGATGCCAGGCCAGTTTTGAAAAAAGCAAAAATTAAGCATTCACCACCGACAAGTAATCCTTAATTTCAGCCATCGAGAGAACGCGGTAGCCCTTCTGGTCTGCAATGCCAATTTCAATGTTGTGCTCCGTCATTTGACCCTCGAATCCCTCCTTGAGGGTGAGAATGGCCGTGTGGATTGCGTCTTCCAACTCGATCGTTTCAGTGTACCGCTTTTCCAAAAAGGTGCGGGCGTTAAGCATGTTCTTGCCAATGGCAGAAGCCTTCCAGGCCCAGTATGAGCCGGAGGGATCAACTTGATAGAGGGAAGGGCCCTTGACACTGTCGTAGCCGGCAACAAGCAGCGAGACGCCGAATGGTCGGACACCTCCGCTTTGTGTGTACTCTTGCATGACGGATGCAACCTCACGCACGAGTTGTGATGTCGGCATGCTTTCGCCATATGTGGTATAATACTGCTGGGCAATCTTGCGTGCCTGGCGAAAGTCAAAGAGATTTGTTGGAGTGAGCGATAGTTTTTTTTTTCCCCAGTCAAAGCAGTTCAAGCTGTCCGGGGGAGGATCCAAATTGATCAAGAGTGTGGATCCAGGCCCAATTCATATTCACATTCCCCCCAACGACGATGCACAAGCTCCAACTGAAGCCAAACCGTTGCGAAACTGGTTGACACTTCCCGCCCCGCCCCGCTTCGTCAACACACAGACCTGCACCAACCACAACAGCTTTTTCGAGGGTCTCACCTTGCGCAACAAGACGCGAGAATCTGGACCCATTCCGCTGTAGACAAAGCCAACCTTGTCGTTGATGCTCGAGACCTTTTGCAAGGACGACTCGTCAATGAGGGCCGTGGGCAGCTTCTTCTCGGTGGCAATAACGACGCCGTTCACCGCTGTTGCAACAAACAACAAGACAGCGACATCGGTCAAGATGAGTGCAACGACGATTGAGAGAAGTGAAGGACGGGCAAGGATCGCGCTCGACCGACTCTCTCACCCGCCAGTCAGTCAGCCAGCCAACCAGCCAACCAACTCCAAAACGCATCCCATCACAAACTCAACCCAAGTCAGAGCGATTGAGATGAGCTTGAGCAGGTTCAACAAAAGAGAGAGAGAGAGAGAGAAAAAAAGTCGCGAAACTTCGTTCTCGATCTCCCGTTGAATCAGCGAATGCGACGAACGCCTGCGTTGCAACGACAGCAACGTCCAAAGGCAGCTTGCTTTTGTCAAATCAGATGAACGAGAACGAGGACAGCGCAGTGAAACCCCGTGCCCAACGCACAAACAGGGCAGCCGTTCATGAAAAATACAAATACAATACAATGAAAGTTTCGCGATCTCAACTTTTTTTTTTTTTTTTTTTTTTTTTTTTTTGCTGGAACTGCATTACAAAAAACGCCAAACCCCGAAACCACCAGCTGCAGCTTGCGTTTCGAGTGCGGGCTTGGGGTTACCTTTGATGCCGACAGAAGTAGTGCCGCCTTGGACTGCGTTCAGGGCGTATTCGATCTGGACGAGCTTGCCAGACGGGCTGAACGTTGTCAATGAGAAACCATAGCGTTCTGACATTGTGCGCTTTCAGAGAAAAAGAGACTGAGACATTTCTCTTTTTTTAGAAAAGAGAAGAGGTAACAAAGAAGTCAAAGTAGTAATCATGAACAGAAGAACGCGATGTTGGACAAGTGCTGCAAGGTAACGAG